CCGTTGCAGTTTTCAAATAATATGGAATGTGTTTTACTAGTTTCGCGTAGCTAGCAATTTGCACGATGCTACAAGTTAGTTTGCGATTAAGGTGCTGACAAACTTTGTAGTAAAGACTTGAGTAGAACTAATTTTGATTTATATAAGAGGTTGAACCTTGATTATGTGAAAAGTTGCTAATTGGAATTAAGCTTGAAAATTGTGTGCTTTTTAGCTTTATTGAAGTTGCAGGAAAATGTTCAAAACTACTATTGGAATAATTTGCAACTATCTCATTTTATAATATTAAACGTCTCAAAGAGATGTAGCCACTTAATCCGATCACAACAACTCTTATAGTAAAACTGTATTATAAAAGGTAAAAAAGATAAAGATAGATAAAACTTTATTAGCACCAACATGCACACGTACGAAATTGACAAGTCACAAATATTAAAATTTCATCTGTTCTTAAACAATCAGCAAACATCATGAACAACTAAAATAAGATATGTTCGTGTGCCGCTGCGAAGCCAATGAGCGAAAAATCAGCGAAGAAGAGAGTAAATAGCAGATTTTCAGTTCTCACCCATTTATAGGGACGCAGGTATAAAAATTCATTCGTACCTTTAACAAGGCAGTTGTTTGAACTCCAAAGATATTGTTTTTACGCTAAAACGGTGCACGGTGGTAATGTAAAGTCGAAGTGCACGAGTCGAAAAACAATCGCGAGTTGAACAGCGTTCGCGAGTTGAAATACCGGCAACGTTCGCCCCGCGAGTTAGTAGTCTGCGATTTAATTGAATTGCCGAGTCCTCGGGCCAAGTCTGAATCTCTTGCAGATTTTTTTCCCTGTGCTCTATTTTTATTGGACAGGGTCCGACTAGAGCGAAGTTTTGGGGTTGCGTCGGAAGAAAACTTTAATGTATGTTTTTCGATGTTTCAGAATATAAGGGCGCAGATTTGTTTTTAATGTCAAAAAGGGAAACGCAAATGAGAAAGGCTCCCCTGATGGTGAGTAGGGTTTCAGGACTCCAAGGGGTAAGGGTTCAGGTCAGCAAGAAGAGCTATGCTGGAGCGGCACACCTTCTGCCGCAAGATCTATCTTCGCAACTGGACTCTGCTAACACTTCACATCAAGAGGCGTAGATAGTTTCGTAGCGCTATCTTAAGAAAAAAACGAATTGCCTTCGCCTATTTATACAGGCGAACGTAATAGGGGTGATGACGGGGTACAGTAAACGAAATTCTATTTAGTCCGTCAGTTAGATGATCAAAAAATAATGGACACGTATTTTTTCTTTGGGCAATCAACCAAAAAATGACAAAGTTAAAGCGCGTCAAAGTTTGGGAGTAGGGGCTCGTGACGTCACTTTTGAGTGAATTTTCCCTTATAAGTGTACTCAAACGTGACGTCATGCGACTTTTCAAATCAATATATCTCTGCAATGTTTATATTTTGAGAAAAAAGAAAAAATACGTGTCCAATACTTTTTGATAATCTACCTGATAAACGAAGAAAAAAAAAATTAGTCATCATCCCTATTACGTCTTTTGTAAAGTGGAGGTCACTTCCGCAGACGGGTGTTCTAAGTCGAGCTAGATATTCACTATGGTCTACCTCTCTTAAAGGGCCATCGAGCTTTATACATATTTAACATTAATAATGCGAAAGTGTGTCACCGTTAATTTTAAAAAAGATTATAAATTATCTCGCGAGATTATAAAATATCGAGAGATTGTGAACCGTAACATACTGCTTATGATTTAACGCATTAATTTTCGTTAGATTATAATCTATCGTAGTAAAACTGCTAAATTACAACCTATCGCGCTAAATTAGCAACTGTTCGACGGCAGTTCCTGATTGACTGGTCTTACAGTGGGTCATAGAGTTCTAAATTTTTCGATAGTTTACAATTTTGCGAGATAGATTATAATCTATCGGTATTTTCATATTTTCGGTGGCATATATAATCAAAAAATGGACCTTCGCGATAAAATGGTGATTCGCGCTTTCCCCACGTTCTCGTAGCCGGACCGAGTGTTGTTAGTGAATCTTCTAACTTGATGGAGGAAAACTTTTCGCTGCCTCGCCCGGGCCGGGCGCCGCGCCTCGCTGACAGGTGCTGTTAAAATTTCCCAGTTTTTACTGTTCTCGTTTATTCTTACCGCTGTGAAATTTAATATTTGTTCTGTAAACGTCAATTGCTTATTTTAAACAAATTCACACTGGTCAGTTTAAGAATAACTTTTTTTTATTTAAAACCAGCCAAGTGTACGCGTTATAAACAAAGTAAATTTTAATGTTTTCATCAAAGGATTTTTAATTAGGTAAGATTTTTTAAATATATATGTTGAACGACTATTACTATTAAACAAAGTAATCTATCTAAACCGTTAGTGTTTTCTTTAAAAGTTCATAAAAAGCACTATTATCATGAATTTTTCAGATTTTCCAAGCCAATATAGTATAATGGTTTAGCTTTTAGAGGGGTGGGAGGCACTTTTAATTTGCACTTTAAAGTTTAATGTTTCGCAAATGGATTCTTAAATCGAAAAATAGTCTTAGCTACTATTATGTCATTTTAAAGGGCCTATTCAACAATACCCCACACAATAAGATAGACTATGAAAAAGCAATATCCCTCCCTACTTTACATATAGGAGGAGAGAGCTACCCCAAAACATTTTTTTTTTTCAAAATTTTATTCTACCAATTTGTCGGCGTGATTGAAATACAAACTTCCACTATATTCCTAAATCCTAAAAACAAGCTTATTTAAATTGTAACTGAATGCAGACGTTAGTTTATATGTATTCTTTTCAAGAATTTGATACCCATATTGATTGGAGTGTACAAAATATTTGTCGGCCATCGTGGGCCTTCGCCTTATGACGACCTGCGAGGCCGAGTCGTTTGTACACCGGGTTTTAAGGTGTCGCTTACCCGAGAGGTCCCAGGTTCGAATCCCGGTGGGGCAAATGTTTGTGTGATGAATACGAGTATTTGTACTCCAGTCATGGATGTTTTATATGTATTTCTATATAAATATACTTATATAAAGTATTCTATCCGTTACCCTAGGAACCCATAACACAAGCCTACAGTGCTTACTTTGCTAATTGACTAAGCTAATTGGTGTGAGTGTTGGAAATATTTATTTATATTTGATACATGACGACACAATGACGCAGTTAATATGCATTGTCATCCAAACATAAAGTTTAGGAAAAAACTCATTTCAATCGGTTGAGTATCACTGTTTCGAATTCAGTTACATGATTTGTCCCAATATACATAATTTTACATTGCAAGTTAAATAAAAGCTTTTCAAAACTTAGCAGAGATTTCTGTAGAGATCCCAGCCTAACGTAGACACCTAATGACTTTTTCTCTACGACTAGGGGGGATTTTACCCAACCTAACTGGACGACAGGGTAAAATTTCCTGAAGAAATCCACTTGATTGATTATATTTCTGACGCATACGCGGGATAGCGTAAGATGAGCGGTCCTGAGGTGGCCTTGCAATGCAAATAGCGCGTTTTCTTTTCGGGGAAAATTGGAAAGAGATAGTTCGAAAGTATCAAATACTATTTATTGTGTACTATTATTAATGCATTCAGAATTATAATTCTAAATAATTTTCATTTTTAAATGAAATTCATTTTTAAATATTAGTCATTTGTTTTCAGCTCATTTTATACGTTTTTCGTCATCATGGATACGTTAAAAGTTCCAGTGATTATAGAGTATGAGTACCGTCGAGGCAGTAAAGCGGCAGAAGGAGGGCGGAACATCAATGACATATACGGAGCGAACACGACCAACGATGACACCACCCGTTATTGGTTTGCCCGCTTCGACCTAAGAATTGAACCCCGTGATCGACCGAAAACTTTAGTCGATAATGATGAATTAGAGGCGATTGTGGAAGCTGACGATTTTCAATCTACATATGAATTATCAGTAGCTTTCGATGTTAACACCAAAACTATATTGGTCCATTTGTGTCAAATTGGCTAAGCAAAAAAGGTAGAGAATGGGTGATCCACATATTGAATGATTGCCAGCGCTAAACTGCTCAACAGGCACACGAACGAAGACATATTGAACTGCATTGTTACTTGCGATGATAAATGGATTCTTTTCGACAATCGCAAGCGCTCAGCAGCTTGGTTAGATCCTGGTTCGGTTCACCTAAACATATACGAAAACTGACCCTGTCACTCTTTGGTGGTCTAGCGCGGGCTTCTTATCTTCTTACCAAATGGGGTGATCAGTACTGCAGATGTCTACTGTGAAGAACTGAACATAATGATGGAGAAGAGCGCACATCTCCAACCAGCTTTGGTCAATCGTTCCGGTCCGCTGCTCCTGCACGACAACACGCGACCTCATACTGTACATCAGACGGTTTCCAAGTTCCTAGAGCTGGGGTTGGAAGTTCACCATCCACCGCACTCACCAGACCTTGTTCCTACAGACATCTTCTTTTTCCAGAATTCGGATAATTTCTTTGCGGGGAAAATATAAAAAACCGTGAGGTTGTTAAAAATGCATTTGAATAATTTGCTGCCTTCCGTCCGGCACACTTTTTGAAAAATGGATTCAGTAGCTACCATTACGTTGGCCAAAATGCAGCATGGATAATTAAATTATACTTTGATTAATAAAAATAAAGAAAAAAGGGCGTTTACTTATTTAATAAAAATTGCAATTTCATGGGTAAAGACTCCTAGTTATTATGACATTTGGAATGCAACTATAACTCAATTTAAATTTGAATTTTTAGATATTTTATTAGTATTTTGTATGCTCTTTCAAGGGCGAAACATATGGAACTTTTAATATTGTTTACTAGCTGTAACAAACTATGTTTCATGCAAATAAACTTTCATTTCATTTAATTTAATTTATAATTTTGTGGATAGTTCAAAACATCAAAAGAACTAGTAAAGAATTATAAGTAAGTTTATCAAGAACATTAATTTACTGGTAGCTTTTTCAGACCGCGATAACAGCTGTTGTATAGGGAAGGGCCTTATTGGCATATAAAAGCTTGAGTCCGACACAAATTAGTATCATTTGCTTCCCGCCTTTCCGTGCCGCCTGAAGTACAGTCATTCTCTATACCCCGCTCTCAACATGTTGTCCTTCGTATTGCCGCTGGTGCTGCTGTGTGCAGGCGTGCACAGCCAGAATCGTAACGCCGCCTCCATGACTGTCAACTCGGACGGCTCCTCTGTCTTCGCCACCAAACTGGGCTTGGCTCATAACGACAAGAATCAGATCAGCACCCTGTTGTCTAAGTCTTCAACGGGAGTAATCAGCAAAGGACTCGCTTTGGACAATGTGTAAGTTTTTGTCAAAAAGCTTTGTTTTTTATTCGATTATTATGAAAAAGCTTCGGGTTAACAGTCATGCTTCGTTTTAGGAATGGCCACGAGCTTTCAATATCCCAGACGAACATTCCTGGCTTCGGGAGCCAGTTGACCGGCGCGGGGAAGCTGAATCTGATTAACAACCAGAACCACCACCTCGATGCTAACGCTTTCATCACCAAAAACATGCCCAACATCCCGCAAGTGCCCAACTTCAACACCGTCGGCGGCAACCTGGACTACATGTTCAAGTAAGACATTCCTTCCTGTCACTTCTCGTCGTCAATTTATAAAAGTTTTCTTTAAACTACTTGAATCACTGTTGACACGAATTTCTGATACTGTTGCAATAATTGATTTTACCTCTGTAGGGATCGTGTGGGTGCGACCCTGGGCGCTGCAAGGACCCCTTTCCTGGACCGCACCGACTACTCGGCGATGGGCAAGCTGAACCTGTTCCACTCCCCCTCCTCCTCTATCGACCTCAACGCTGGATTCTCCAAAATTGCTTCCCCTCACTTCAACACCAACTGGCAACCAGCGGGAGGATTAACTTTGACTAAATTCTGGTGATCATCGACTGCAGTATTCATTGTGATTCTTTTATAGTACTTTTAATTTGGCATTTAACTGTGATAAACGATAAAAATATATATTTATGGAATGACTTTTTTTTGTTTTTATAATTTGTTTACTGTCCGTACTGCCATCCATCCATACTAATATTATAAATACGAAAGTGTATCTTCCCGTCTGTAACCTTTTTATGCCTTAAGTGCTGAATCGATTTAGAAAGGAGATGGTTCAAAAGTTTCTTTTATATTATAACATACTTTTATTTTTTAATTTCAAATCTTGTTTAAAAATTGAATAATTTTGTATGGATGTCGGCCACTGTCACAATTAGCGTCATATTTTTAGTGTGTGGCAGCTTATAACATTATTCAATCACTATGGCATAAGTCAATAAGTCAACGGCTTACTAGAGCCGATTTGTTTTGATGTTATATAAACAACTTCCATCACTCTTTGGCTGAATGTTACTACACCCATAGCTATTAAAAATGATTCGTATGTTTTCCAAACCGGTAAAAATATAAGTCCTTTTTAAAATGAATATATTATATTAAGGTGTCCGTTAAAATCTATTGATTGTTAAATAAAGTATAAATTACGCCAAGAATCACCGTATATGTCAATATTTTTTGTACATTTGGGCCAATTTGAGCAATCTCCTTTGTAGGTAGGTTTGCAGCATATACTATCGTATCTTTTTTTCACAGCTTCAAGGGACCGTAGACCTAAGTATATGGTTAAAATTACAACTCGATACCTCTAGCGTTCCTGAGATAAAGGATCTTGACAGACAAATGGGCAGGCCGTTTTTTCTTTTGTAGTACGGAACCCTACATATTCAATATGGCAGAACTAGTGATTTGAAGAGGTGAGTAAAAGGGGACCAGTTGATGGAATGGTAGCGATTCAGCCCAATGCTCCAACCCAAGAGTCGGGTTCAGATTACGGTCTAATTATTTCAAATATTTGTTCCCTGATGTTTAATATACTTATAATATTTTTAATACTAGTGTCATTAAAATCAATAATTTTTATTCATGGGGTATTCTTATCTTCACCCTGAATTCGGCGGTGGTTCGTAGTTTAGAAGATATGACATCGGTTTTATGTTGAGAGTGAAAACTTCTTTAGTATCGTTGTAACTTGGGATTCGATGAAACGGAAGTAGAGTATTTGACACAAGATACGTATCCGTAATTTTATCATTTACTACAAGAGACAGATAGCCGAACGTTAACGGTTTTAGGGTCGGCACCAACTGATCGGTGATTCGATCCTGAGCTCGGTTGTTTTTTAATTCTTTTAATCGTTTTTTTTTTCTTTTGTTAAGCTATTATTTATTTTTCGAAACAACTTAAGTATAGAATATTTAAATTTTACCTAGAGAGTTAACTTTTAACACAGGTGTTGTCTTTAAGACGTACCTAGTCATGAAGGGCTTTAACGTGTTCACATTTTTGTAGTTTTTACTTCTATTGCATGGGAACAGCTCATGTCAGATTTTCTTTGCATTTCTTACATATTTACGAAAGGTGTTAGGGTTAGCAGAAATGGTTGTATTAAGGTTCAGTTAAATAATAAAACACACCCTTAAACAGGTAAAACGGGGTATAGTTTGTATGGCAAAATTATACAAAATGATATTATCGTCTGAAAACTTTGCATGGGTAGTCGATCTTAAGGTGAATAATGGACCAAATCCAAAGTTAACATGAATGAAGAAACTTTGAATTTATAGATAGAAACAGAAATCTTTTTTCTAAATAAAACATAACACTTCATATGCAATACATTTATTTACAATGTTACTTATTGTATGTTATTGTAAAGGTCAATCCTCCTGATGGTTGCCAGTTGGTGTTGAAGTGAGGAGAGGTAATTTTGGAGTATCCAGCGTTGAGGTCCAAGGAGGAGGAGGGGGAGTGGAACAGGTTCAGCTTGCCCATCGCCGAGTAGTCGGTGCGGTCCAGCAATGGGGTCCTGGCAGCGCCCAGGGTCGCGCCCACACGGTCCCTGTACAAATAAAATTCGATCAATTATTGCAAAATAAACGCAGAATGATGGTAATACTTCTCGACATGACGACACAGCTTTCTAAATTGTTAAATAATGCCAGATGAAACTGTGTACCAAATTTCATTTAATAGGCCTTGCAGCCTCAGAATTACCGGAAGGAATTCGAATAGGCTAGGGTAGAGAATAGCAGATTTCCCGCTCGAATTGGAGCACCCGCCTGGGGAAGTAACTTTTTTTTGTGACGCAGGCAAAACCTCACACCGCCGAACGGAACTCACACCTGGCTCCCGCAAGCCTTACGAGCCCCCGCAGTGGCTGCCCACTGAGGACCCCGGAACTTTAACGGGCGCTTTACGGCATAATATTCGCTAAAAACCCTGCGAATACCCTTTAATCTGCTAAGTGCGAAACCGCGGGATCCCCGTTTAGGGATTCTTCCGCGTGTCCGCACCCTGGTGAAGTTTCCTGTTATTACATAGTATCACAGTAAAATAACACTACTTTTTGGTGGTGTTGTGTTTCTGCCGGTGTGTAAGGTTCCAGGGTATTGGGTCAGGCTAAGTAACGGTACGAGTGATATTTTTGGTATCTTAACCTCTGAGATTCCCAGATGGAACACTAGCTCATAAGCCACAGGAGAAAGCCGATTTACTAGCAAAACTTTGTGCAGCTAACTCCCGAATCGATGATTACAATGCACTGCCACTTGACGATGCTTTGGAAAGGCTACAGCGGCGCGCGATCGCGATCGAGTGACTTAGTCACTAGGCGCGTTATATCGTCTGTACCACGGCGAGTGTCTACAGGTTACGGTAGCCGCTTATTATCAGGCAGGCCCTATGCTTGTTTGCCACATTTTCAACATTAAAAGGAAACGTACGTCCTATATATCATCATCATCATCATCATCAGTCTATTAATGTCCCCACTGCTGGGGCGCAGGCCTTCCCTATGGATGCAATAGGGAGATTGGGCCATGACCCACCACGCGGGCCCAGTGCGGTTTGGCGGGTGCTAACGACAGCAGATGCAGCCGGGACCAACGGGCTTAACGTGCCTTCCGAAGCACGGAGGAACTCGAGATAGTAAATTTTTGGTCACCCATCCAATGACCGACCACTACGAAAGTTGCTTAACTTCAACGATCGCAGCCGAACGCGCTAACCACTTGCGCCATCGAGCTCCTCGATGCTCGTCCTTTATATATCAAGGTATAACAATTGAAAGTGCATTTGTCCGGATAACGAATGGTTCAGGGTTAAATTTTCATTGGTAACTTACTTGTACATGTAGTCCAAGTTGCCACCGACGGTGTTGAAGTTGGGCACTTGCAACATGTCGGGAATGTTCTTGGTAATGAAGGCGTTGGCGTCGAGTTTGTGGATGTTGGTATTAATCAAGTTCAGTTTCCCCGCTCCAGTCAACTGGCTGCCGAAGCCAGGGATGTTTGTCTGGGATACTGAGAGCCCGTGACCGTTACTGAATAATAAATATTTAGTTTATATTGTAACTTACTACGCATATTGTAATTCTTGGCTGAACTATGGCATCATATTGTGGGGAAATAGCACAGACGCACCTACTTTATTTACATTGCAGAAAAAACTAATCCGTATTATTGCAAATATAGATAATACCGAAAGCTGCAGACCGTACTTTCAGAAGTATAAGAGAATTCCCTGCCTTGTTTATACATACTAGAAATATACAAATTTATAAAGAAAAATAGCCAATTATATACTGAACGAGAGAATTTACATATGAAGTATTCCTTGCGATGTAAAAACAAATTAGTACTGCCAACTTCACACCTTAAGCTAAGTTTAACAAGTACCTTTAACTTTTCTATAATAATATATAACCATTAACGAGGGACATTAAGAAACGAAACTAATGACATTATATTTATAAAAAAAAAACTGTTATTAATCGAGAAGTGCTACTATAGTACTAATGATTATTTGAATGACAATCTTAAGTAAATAGCGATTATCATGTACAAAATGACAAAAAAATGATACACATAAATGACTTATCCAATCAAAATACACACATACATAAATATTATTGAACTTGACATTGAAATTTAACATTTTTTTTACTAGTGGCCCGCCTATTAATTGATTGTTTGTTTATATAAATAAAATGAATTTTTCTTCACTTATATAATATATAAATTAACTATAGTGACATTTAGTACCTAACTCTTTCAATCTATAAACTACCATAGAAAGGACATTGTTCAGCGTCCATACATAGTTAGCCTAAGAACCAACAATCATGAAATATTATTTTCTAGGTTCAAAATCGTAAGTAAATGACTGTAAAAACAAAGATTATTGACGGACACTTCTGAGAACTTAAATTATTAGGAAAACTAAAAATTTTTTGAGGTTATTTTTAATATTCAATGAAACATAGGTCAACCTATGAATTTAGTATGAACTCAGTATGAAGTGAATTAACATTACAACTAATTCATTTTATTCGGTGCGATTTTAAAGAATAACTATTAGGAAAAACTTTTGTAGTTTTGCTTCTTATTTATTGACTATTTTTCACATAATTGTATCATATTGTTTAATGTATTTATTTGTATATCACATGTATATTGTGTAAATATGCAGCGTGAATGTGTATCAGGTGTTCTTGAATAATTTGGCAGTATGATCCTCTCAGGATGTTGTGGCACAGGTTCACTAGCACTTGGTAATAAGGGCTCTGCTCTTTGGTAACATCGATGGCATATTAGATAGCCGAAATAGTTAAATTAAAGAAAAAACAATCGCAAATAGACACACACAACAGGTAATCCGAAACGAGAATGCACTTTCCGGTATATTAAACTACTCTATGGAATGCACGAATGCAAACTGCCTGCACCACAACCACAGAGTATCGATTATAATTTTTATTATTTTTTAAAGCATGTAACTGCTTGATGTTTAAATCTAAAGAAAATATAACTAGAAAAAATTCCACGCGGACCAGGCAGCAGACGGGACTCGAACCCGCACCCTTCGCAATCCGGGCGAATGCACTGACCAGTTATGCTACCGCGGCCCTCACGGACCGCGTCGAAATTCCTTCTAGCTATTCTTAAGCTGCAGGGCAGCGCCATCTCTTCGCATTATAGGTAAACCCACAATGTCAAATGAATACTTTTACAAGTATTAAACATTTGAAAGAAGAAATAGCAATTATAGTTATAATTTTTATTATTTTTAAAGCATGTAACTGCTTGATGTTTAAATCTAAAGAAAATATAACTGCCTGGTCCGCGTGGAATTTTTTCTAGTTATATTTTCTTTAGATTTACACAGAGTATCGAGTTTTATGCCGGCCCTTCACTTGACAACAGTTTGTCCTTGTCATGCTTAATAAGGAATGAAAAGGAAAGACTGATTTCATGCTTTAAAATAGCAAATAGGAATAGCCAAGTGAAGTGCCGGCATTAGGAAGAAAGAGTGTTTTGTTTGCAGCGCTGCCATAGATTATACACATAAAGTGGTATTTATTGTCTCAGATTATTTTTTAACTTTTTAATTTAGCTTACTTAACTGGAAGTGTCCGTCACAATGTAAATACTGATAATTATCGCAAAAAATATACTAAGAATTATCATGAATGCCAAATTGGTGTTGGTTCTTAGGCCAATTTTAACATTGTCCTTTGAATGTAACTCTTCTCTTCTATCTCTCATTTAGTTGCGTGCCCAACAGGGTCCATAATGATTGTATTTTGTCATATTTAATATCTTTTTGTGGATATGCAATAAACGAATTGAATTGAATTGAAATAATGATATGTCAAAATTCAAGAAAGTTAATTTAAAAGGAAAATATCAAATGCCTACCGCATAAGTTTGCAGATATTACTCACACAGAGGAGCTCGTTCGCGCAAGTGGCTATCGCGTTTGGCTGCGATCGTTGATGTTAAGAAACAATTCACAGTGGTCGGTTATTAGATGGGTGACCAAAAAATTACTATTCCGAGCTCCGCCGTGTTTCGGATGGCACGTTTAGCCGTTGGTCCGCCGGCTGCATCTGCAAACGATAGTCCCAGCAATCCGTACAAGGTCCGCGTGGTGTTTCGTGGCCTAATCTTAATATTATACATCCATAGCAGGCCATCCAGGCCTTCCCCTGTGCCCCCGCATTTGGTACATTAATAGGCTGTGATGACTCACACATTATCCAAAGCGAGTCCTTCGCTGAACGCTCCCGTTGAAGACTTGGAAAACAGGGCGCTGATCTGATTCTTGTCGTTGTGGTCCAAGCCCAGCTTGCTAGCGAAGACAGAGGAGCCGTCGGAGTTTAAGGTCGTGGAGGCGGCGTTATGATTCTGGCTGTGCACGCCTGCACACAGCAGCATCAGCGGCAACGCGAGGGACAACATGTTGAGAGCGGAGTATGGTGGACAACTATACTTCACACGACACGGGACGCTTGGGATCGAATGATATTCATATGTTTCGTATTCGACTTTTAAATGCACGTAGGTCTTCCTGACAGACAGCGGTTATTGAGGTTCATAGAATTATTGTACTGAATTAAATTATGAATGTTATCTGTATTATTTTCAACACAACAAATTGTTAAGTTTTAATATTTAGGTTCGAGTGCGGGCAGTTAAACAAGGGGCACAGTGTAATACAAGGAGTATCTCTGTGTTACATCCGGCCATTTAACGTAATATCACAACTGCTTAAGTTAGCGACATAAAAAATAAATTAAAAAAGAAACTAATAAAAATAATGAGAGATATTCCTTACGTTATATTGAGCCCCTTGTTACACATCCCTGTCCTCACTTGATTTGTTATTAAGTAGGCTTTTTTAATCTAATGTGTTATTTCTAAATGTCTTTCTTTTTAAGATATCGCTCGTAGATTAACGAACTGTGAAATGTTAAAATGAAAATTTGTCTTTTATCAATTTCTAGTGTTTTTCTCATCATTTTCATTATGTGATTATAGCGCAATAAAATGTAGTCAATGTAGCTGCGGCTTCGACCGCTGAAAGAATTTTCAATATTGGTTCAGTACTTCCAGAGAAAAATCTCTAGTAAATTTAAAGTAAAAACTTTATACAAACTTTTATCTGTATTAGTATATTACTATAGATTAAGTTTGTTATCTTATACCGGGTTAACACGAGGCGATTTAAATTGGTCAACTTTTATCGTTCAATAGCTTTTCCTTAATTTGAAGGAAAGTCTGTTCAAATCGCATGCGAGTTAACAGTTGATCAACTGAAATCGCCTCGTGTGAACCCGGTATTACAATGGTGGCAATGGGCCGAAAGCGGTGAGTGATGTACCGGGAGCAGTGGATATGGGCTGGGAGCAGTGGTGTTGGACCGGGAGCGGTGGCCATGGATCGGTGGTGGTAGCGATGGACCGGGAGCGGTGGCGATGTACCGGGGGCGGTGAGTGATGGACGGGGAGCGGTGGCAATGGATCGGATACCAAAAGACCGAAACGAATGCGCTGGCCAAGATTATAGTTGTCACGTAGCAGTGCTTCCGGACAAATGCGATCCGAAAACCCCTCAAAAAATAAAGAGAGAAGGTACTCCTTCCTCAAATTTGTGATACTCCTGGTGTTGCAAGTGGGCGACGGTGATTACTTACCATCAGGTGAGCCGTCTGCTCGTATGCCCTATCTATATATATATCAAAAAATAGTTGTTCTTTTTAAGGTTGATTTCATGACGTAACTCGTAAATAAATTATGAGTCTTTATCTTTGACTTGACATTTTGTTCGCTAATTTTATCAGCAATATTCTTCAAAATAAATGCAAATACATATTATGTGACGTGTTTGAATGTGTAACGAATTAACGCAAGATAAAACAAATTGTCGACCCAATTATGAGTATTATATAAACTCAAGTCTTGTACGTAAACACATGCTATTTTTGTCATGTAATTTACCTATTACTAAATTATACAGATAAGGAAATTTTGCAGCTGTGTTTACATTAAAAACACTTTATATTTTTTTGGAGTGAGAGTTTATTGATCTTCAATTAGGAATTTCGTGAATATGTTTTCAACATTGGCTTTTTATTTAGCTGCATAATTTCGAACACATTAACAGGATTTAGATGCTCATCAACGTCGGCGTCAAAACTTCTATGGACAGCTTTTCCCGACATCTCACGCACATCTGTCAATCAGGCCATCGACCAAAGAGCAAACTAAACTCGACAGTTCGACACTACATTAAAGATATCCCGGTCGTCAGACTTTACGAGATTAGTGTAGCTACCAAACATTTATTTAGCCAAGTGCGAGTCGGACTTGCGCACCGAGGGTTCCGTACAAACCTGTAGGTATATTTTAATAATTATTAAAAAAAAAGATTCTGTCGAGTGTCTGTGCTTCATTTATCCCAAGGTGCATTAAATAAATAAATAAATAATCGCAGTAATGGCTGAGACCCTGGAAGATTTGGTCTTGGTGCCCAGGCACAATACTCGATGACCTCTGTAGAGTTTCCGAAAAAGTGGGTTTTAAAATGAACATGGACAAGTCCAACCTTCAGAAAGAGGTCAATCGACGAATCCAACTTGGCTGGGCAGTGTTCGGGAAGCTACGCAGCATATTTTCGGCGCAACTTCCACAGTGTCTCATGACGAAAGTCTTTAATACGTGTGTTATGCCAGTGATGTCTTATGGAACCAAGACTTGGCCGCTAATAATGGGAGGCCCATTGTTGAGAAGGCTAAAAGTCACCAAAAGAGCAATGGAGAGGGCGATCGAATCAGAAATGATAATATCCGCAAAAGAACTATGTTCGCCGACGTAGCCCAAAGAATTGCAAGCCTTAAGTGCAAGAGCAGTGGGCAGGCCACATTGCAAGGAGTATTGAAGGCCGTTAGGGCGGAAAATTTCTCGAGTGGCGGCCGCATACCGGGAGACGAAGCGTTGGTTGGTAGATGGTAGGCCCGCGACCATTAACAGATCTGTTAATGGTCGCGGGAAGCTGCTGGATGCGGGCAGCGCAAGACCGATTGGTTTGGAATTCCTTGGGGGAGCCCTATTTCTAATAGTGGGCGTCTATCAGCAGTTATGACAATGATGATAATAGGATTTCATATTAACTATTGCGTAGGAAAATATCCGTCATTTATCCAAAACATAATTTATTTTTATTATTATATCACATTAAACTAAACATATAAATTACATTTTTCTCTAGTTATAGTTGGTAATATCACATTTTTATACTATATTTCGAGATCACCAGAATTTAGTGAATGTCAATCCCCCTGCTGGTTGCCAGTTGGTATTGAAGGAAGGCGAGGAAACTTTGGAGAACCCAGCGTTGAGGTCCACACGGGAGGCGGGGGAGTTGAACAAGTTCAGCTTGCCCATCGCCGAGTAATCCATGCGGTCCAGGAATGGGGTCTTGGCAGCACCCAGGGTCGCACCCACGCGGTCTCTATATACATAATATAAATTATTGCAACAGTCATCTTAAGTAAATCGTAGTATTATTTAATTAAGAAATATAAATAGTATAAAAATATATGGGGCTATGTTCGTGTTCTATCGAAGTTCTTCACCAGGGAGAAATAAGGGATATTTAGAAGTCCATGCTTCAACTAAATACCCAGTCATTAAGGTTTCAGGGCTCTACTGGGTAGGTTTGGGTCAGAGTACAGTCGAGACAGAGTTTATAGGACGTGGTGGCCGCGTACCAGCAGGCAGGCCATATGCTATTGTTTGCCTTCCTTTTAACATAAAAAGCTTACACAGTAGGAACGATAGAAGAATATATTATAATAATTGCCTTACTTGAACATATAGTCCAGGTTGCCACCGACGGTGTTGAAGTTGGGCACTTGCGGGATGCTCGGCATATTCTTGGTGGCGAACGCGTTGGCGTCAAGTTTGTGAACGTTGTTATTAATCAAGTTCAGCTTCCCCGCGCCGGTCAACTGGCTGCCGAAGCCAGGGATGTTCGTCTGGGATACTGAGAGCCCGTGACCGTTCCTGAACAACAATTAGTAAATGTAAGAATAACACCGAACAAAATATCAGCATCTAAAAATATAAAGAGGTGCTCGATAGCGTGTTTGCGGTCGTGGAACTTAAGTAACTTTTGCAATGGCCGGTCGGACCAATGATTTCTTATTTCAAGCTCCTCCGTGCTTCGCAAGGCACGTTAAGCTGTTGGTACACCGGCTGAATCTGGAGACGTTAGCACCCTATAATCCTCACAGGGTTCGCATGGTAGATTAAGGCCTATCTTCCCTATTCTTACCACAGGGAAGCCCAGAAGTAAGGACATCAATAGCCTGATAATGATGAAGAATTTTACAAATAACTACTTTTAAAAATCTACCAATATAATGTTACTATCACAAAACGAAAACAAGAAGAAACGTGTTCCCTACTTCTTACAATCTGAGGTCCTTTAAAACAGGCGTGAAACAGCATTTCCGCAGGCTGGCAATGTGAGGATGGTTGGTGTGGTAGTTTATAACTGCTGCACCAGCTATTTCAGCGTCTGGGCTTTACCATCACTTCACATCTGGTGGGGTAGAGTTATTTGCCTACCTAGCTATGAAAGAAAAGAAGAGTATTTTGTTAATTTGAGGGTAGTACTCACACATTATCCAAAGCGAGTCCTTTGCTGATTGCTCCCGTTGAAGACTTGGATAACAGGGCGCTGATCTGGTTATTGTCGTTGTGGGCTAAACCTAGCTTGGTGGCGTACAGCGAAGAGCCATCGGAGTTGATTGTCATAGAAGCAGCGTTATGATTCTGGCTGTACACCCTTGCGCAGAGCAGCGCCAGCGGCAGCACGATTGACCACATGTTGAGGGGGGAGTATGGAGGAGTACTGTACTACACACGACACGGGACGCCGGGGAGCGAATGATGCTGGCTCGTCTTACACTACAGCTTTTAAAGGAAAGAGAGGTGCAAGAGATAACTCGTGACAAAAAGTTCATCCTTACGTTTCAGTGATTTCCCTATCCCCGTAGTAATTGTAAATAACTGTTATCGAAGTCATTATTATTATTGCGTGTTAAATGCAACGATAACCTCTACTTTTGGGTCTTACTAGTTTTTGATTTAATTAAGATAAACGTGTTGAATATTATTTTGACATAATTATAGCGGAAGCATGATGTTGATTTGATTTATAAGTATACTTACTTTTTAGGCTTCCGTAGTGCTGACAAGGAACTCTTATAGTTTCATCATGTCCGTCTGTTCGTCCCCGGTTTTGCTTGGAGACTGCTAGCACTAGAGTGCGACGAGTATGTAAATTAAGTCTCTACCTGCTACTGGGCTCACTGAAGAGATTCGACGGTTGATGAGTAAAAAAAACAGGGTAAATGAAAAGTTTAAACTTGATCCTTCAAATAACAACGAGGCTAAATACAATCGTGCTAGAAACCGGTGCAACACCGTGATCAGAGACGCACAAAGACGCCACGTTCATAAATCAGTGGAAAGTGAAGACCCCGGGAAGGTTTGGAGATTCTTGAGATCAATGGGAGTTGGCAAGTCACGTAGGCCCAATGCCTGTAACAATCTTGATGTCGATCAACTTAACAGTTATTTTTCCTCTACAATCTCCATTGATGAGAAACGTAAGCGTTTAACCTTACGTCATCTTTCTAATCTGCCAACTCTTGATCCTCCCTTTGTCATACATCAATTTGCGGAATGTGATGTTAAGAGGACTATCTTGTCGATTAACTCCAGTGAGGTAGGCAGTGATTCAATCAGCCGCAAAATGATCCTGCCTATTATAAATATCCTGATTCCTGTAATCACAACCATTCTTAATACTTCAGTTTCTACTGGAGTTTTTCCTTCTTCCTGGAAAGACGCCAATGTGATTCCTCTCCCCAAAAAATCAAATCCCACCTCTTTTTAGGAATACCGTCCATTATCTATTCTTCCGTTTTTATCAAAAGTCCTTGAAAAACTAATACCCGGCAGCTCACGGCTTTTCTCAATTCGAACCACCTCTTGAACTCTTTTCAGTATGGCTTTCGTAGGGGCCACAGTACTACTACCGCACTGGTTAAAATTTCGGACGATATCCACCGAGGAATGGATAAGCGGCAACTTACGTTGTTGACGCTGCTTGATTTTAGCAACGCCTTCAATTCAGTCGACTTTGACATCCTTTTAGGCGTTTTGGGTTCACATAGCATATCTCCATCCGCAATTGAATAGTTTCGAAGTTACTTGCTAGGCCGCCGACAGCGTATCCGTATTGACAACACCTTGTCTTCATGGTGTGATATCAATGCCGGTGTTCCTCAGGGTGGCATCCTATCTCCTCTTCTATTTTCTATCTTTATAAACTCTATCAAACTGTCACTTTCATGTTCATATCACCTTTATGCTGATGATCTCCAGATATACACTCAGGCCCCTTTATCTGACCTCTCTAGCGCAATTTCTGATATCAACACAAATTTGTCAAGTGGTTGGAGTGAGTCATTTGGTCTTACCTAAAATCCGAAAAAAACTCAATCTATCATAATTGGTAGTCCTTATTTTATTTCCAGGATCGACTTTATTCATTTGCCTACCATAATTTTGAACGGTTCTACTATTTTCTACTCAGAAACCGTCAGGAACTTGGGTGTTGTCTTTGACCAGAGTTTCACATGAAAACCACAGGTGGAGGTGGTTAGAAAAAAGGTGTTTGCTGTTTATGGTTTCCTTAGTCGTTTGCGATACTTTTTGCCGAGCAGCACCAAAATCAACTTGGCAAATTCTCTGTTGTTGTCCATCATCGACTACGCTGACGTTTGCTACACCGATCTGTCGGAGGAACTCCTCAATAAATTAGAGCGACTGCAGAATGTTTGTATCAGGTTCATTTATAATCTCCGTAAATTCGACCACGTATCTCACTTCCGTAATAAACACTCGAACGGTTCTTTATTCTATACTTTTCCGCCCACCTTCCCCACCTTATCTAGGATAGAAATGAGAAACACTGCTTACAGTGTTTCTCATTTCTATCCTCTTCTTCACAGCTCTCGCTGAGATCCTCTTCTAACCTACTTCTTGAGATTCCTTGTCACTCTTCTGACTTCTTTTCTTACTCTTTTTCTGTGCACGCTGCTCGATTTTGGAATTCACTTCCTGAGGGTATCAGAAAGGCTCGTTCGCTTAATTCTTTTAGCGATCAAGTTAAAAGCTATTTCATTTCTTTATCTTAAATTCAATTAATATCCTATTTCTTTGCTTGTCTTATATTTATGTAAGTATAGCTCCTGTATCTACTTTTACACCCTTTACTACTACTTTTGCACCCTTCTATATTTCTCTATTATTATTCCATTTCTACCATAGGTTGCCTGGAAGAGATTGCTGTTTAGCAATAAGGCCGCCTATTGTACTCTTTCTTCTGTTTTATTTGTTTTTGTCTTGTGTCCTTTGTTGTGTGCAATAAAGAATATTTATTATTATTATTATTATTAGTATATCATTCGCACCGACAAACTGGTTGCATAAAATTTTGAAAAATATTTTTTAGGGCAGTCCTCCACATGTGACCTGGGGATGTTTTTTTTCATCGTCTACCCTGTCCCCCGTATCGTGTGGGGTATCGTTGAATAGGTCCTTTAAAGTTACTACGGGGTTTTTAAGACTATTTTTCGATTTAGGGATCGGTTTGCGAAATATTGAACTTTAAAGTGGTAATTTTTGTTCGAGTAGGGCGCCCCCCCCCCCCTTCTAAAAGCTAAACTTAGCTTGAGTAACTGGAAAATTCATGATACTAGTGCTTTTCATGCACTTTTTAGGAAAACTATAACGGTTAAGATAGATTTGTCAGTTTAAGAGTAATAGTCGTTCAACTTTGGTTAAAGATAATTGCTTACCTAATGAAAATTCCTTAGAAAAAAACATTAATAGTGACATAGATGTAGTGATTGTAGTAGTAAAACCTTGCATTGAAAAGCAAATAAAAAAAAACTATTCAAAATTTCATTTTTATTATTTATAAAATACACCGATACAAAAATAAACGCAACTACGGAACCCTACACTGCGCGTGGCACGATACGCACTTAGCCGGTTTTTTCAAGTTAAAATGGTGGCAATCAGACCCGTCTAATGACAAGCGGTCATCATAACCTATAGATGTTTGCGATACAAAAAATGAGGAGCTGGCGAACAAAACGGTATAATTACGCATCTGGTCAAACTACTTTTTTTTACAGTTCCGAGGTTACGGGCCCGTTGAATCTGAATATCAAATAATTTTCAATCATAATCGCCTAAAACAGTGCTTAAATTACTAGATTTATAAATTAAAAACCATGCCACAAGGTCACTTGGTGAGGTATGTCATTCTGTCTTATACAGCTTCTGTAAAAATTTTTTTTTTTGTAATTATACCGTTTTGTTCGCCATCTCCTCAAATATCACTCCCGCCGTTGCCTACACTGACCCAATCCCCTACCCCGTGGAGCCCTTTTGTTTTTTATTATTACGCCGGTAAAAAATGCAGTTTACAGACAACGGCGCCTTTAAGAGGTACACCGCCGACCGGACCTCACACCTGGCTCCCGCAAGTCTTACGGACCCCCTAGTGGCTGCTCACCTAGGACCCCGCAACTCAATATCCGCTAAAAAAGTCCTGCGAATACCCTCAACACTGCTTGATGCGGAGCTGCGGGATCCCCTGGTGAGGGATTTCTCCGCATCCCCGCAGACGTGCGCAGGTAGGCCCGCGCTTGGGGGCTGAGTACGCGGCCTAGTGCCCACCGTACCGCCCCCCGTCCTCTACCCCGTGGAGCCCTGGAACCTTCCTCACCGACAGAAACACAACACCACCAAAAGGTTGTGTTTTTTTACTGTTTTCTTATGTAAGGTGGAGGTCATTTCCCCAGACGGGCGCTTCAATTCGAGCAGAAAATCCGCTATGCCATATTTCTTTAGAATTATGTAGATATAATTCAATATACAAATACGAAATATATCAAGGAAATAAAAACACGATTACATTAATTTACCATTTCCACGGCTTCTGGGAAACGTTTCGTTACATAAAATGTTTTTCGGTAATCTTAAATTTTAAACATCGTAATAAAAATACCCATGATTTGTGACTCACACATTTAATTAAATCGCCAGTCTATTCAAATGCATACTTTCAGTATGTAATAATTTACCTGCCACACCTAAATCATGGATCAATAATACATATGTCGTGTGATAGCTGTCGAAAAGAAAAGAAAAAGGGAGTTTTTGGCGGGATTTTATCGAGTGCTCTTGGCGTCTTATTTTAATTATTCTTAAATTCGTTCATAGTGGATATTGTGAAATAAAATTGGTGTGATTTTGTGTTACAACCGTCTGTGCAACTGAAGAATTGGTGGAATCTTTTAAATATACGTTATTTTGGTCAAGTGGACGTGAGAACTTTATTGTAGTGCTGGCTACCTCACAGAAGCTTATCGAAAAAGCCAACTCGATACACTTCGTGCCAAACACTCCAAGAAACATTAGAATGCGTCACACCGACATTCTAATGTAAAAACAAGAAGATTTATATAACTAACGACTAAGCTGTATGGGCATTGGACCCTTTGCCTTCCCGAGAAAGGGAGAATCTTAAAAAAAAAAGTTAAATATTGTAGTTTTGTTTTCCATGAAAAAAATTTTGTTTGTGTGATCTTTTAATTTAGTAATTTTATCCCAAAGGACTATTTTATTTTATTAGTGTATTGGGCAAGGCCTAAGCCAGGTGATTATCCAAAAGAACCTGGGAGAAGCGAACAAATTCTTCACAACATCTAATGCGTTCTAGTATTTTCAGCAGTTTTAATATCGTCGTTGTTATTTAACAATCTTTTTTTCTTTTCTTATCGGCTTATCTTAATAGTGCAAGATGCTAAGCCCGCCAGGCCCTAATTATTTTCTGATAGGCATAATATGGAATTTTACACAATGTGACCAACTGTAATAAGGACGGGGGAGGGGTAAAAGCTTAGATTAATACAAAAAGGGTAGATACGGTACACTCATACTTGCATCAAACAAAAACTGATCCCACGGCAGCGCGAACGGGACGGCGAGATCCGCGTCACTGCATTACCGACCCGAATGAAACAGCACGTTAAGTTTCAACGGCAGCGCAAACGAGACGGCGAGATCCGCGTCACTGCATTACCGACCAATCAGGCGACCAGTACTCGACGTCACTACCGAACAAGATTCAAAACAAACAACAATTTTTATGAAAAAATATATTTTATAGTACTTACGAATGAAAAGTGATGCCGTGGGTTTTATTTTTAGTTATTCAGCAATTTGAGCACTTTTTAAAAACACACTTAGGGATTGTTTTATCATATAATAACAAAATATTAGCAATATTTCTTTTTGGCGTTCACATGTACGTCGTTTGCATGTCAAGTTGTGACTAAAGCGATTAGGGTCGTGGACCACAATTGGTGCGGATCACTTTTGTGAGGCTAGTGCCGTATCTACCCTTTTTGTTTTAATCTAAGGGTAAAAGTATCACGAAATTAGTATGACGTACTTTATGGACGACCCATATTTAAACTTAATTTTTCGTCTTTTGAATACAGCACTGTGCCACCTTAGCATTGGCCCACAACACAAGTTGGCGAGTATGTATACGTTCATTATACACAGTAATACTACTTGATTATCAAAATTTTGTCCATCAGCAAATAAGTACCTAACGTCTGGTGGGTTTGGGATCTTACTCTTTAAGAGGGTTGTGATATTATAAAGGTGCTCGGCATAGTGTTAGCTATCCGTTATATTTACACACGTCAGATTAACATATGATGGAAGAATTTCCATGATAGGTTAATCTGCGGGGGCTCCACAATTTGTATTAAATCACGTTTTATATCGCGTCTGACTGTCAATCTTCATAGTAATTTGACAATTAAGCGTGATAAATAAGTGCTATATATCATATCGTGGTGCTCATGCAAGAGGGAGAGACGTGTGTAATCCGTAAATCCCTACTTTACGAAACTTAAGGTTTCATTTAAATCGTTTAACTAAAACCTACTGATTTGAAAACCACAAAATGTAAGTTTTGTAAAAATATAAACAACCGTACATGAATATTAATTAGTAGTGATAATTACGAGTACGAATTAATTATTCATATTTTCTATAACAGTTTCACAAAGCTGGGGACAGGGAAAACCACAACAAACAAAACAGGCGCGAAGAACAAAAGAAATATATTTCGAGAGATAACGGGGAGGAACCTTGTATAACATTGAAAGCTACCTACCACGTTTCTAAAGGCTGTTCAGCGATGTAATTTAATCAGTCAATTGACATTGCTGCCAATTTTCTCAAAATTGGTACTGCAAGCGCCGTTTTGGGTGTCTAGAATTGTTCGCTGATCTTTGATCAAGAAACCCAAATTGATTTAGAACTGCTGTTAAGTTGACGGACTTCATCATAATCGTCAGCCTATTAATGTTTCCACTGCTGGGGCACAGGCCTTCCCTATGAAATTGAATAAGGAGATTGGGTGATGTCCAACCACGCGGTCCTAATGCGAATTTGTGGGTGCTAACGACTGCAGATGCAGCCGGGACCAACGTGCTTAACGTGCGCAACGAGCTTAACGTGTTTTCCAAAGCATAGATAGTAAATTTTTGATCTTTAAACTTCAACGACCGCAGCTGTATTTCAACAGCAAAACTGAAAACGCCGATTCATAATGTACATTGTAAGTTGTGATGAAAACAGCAAATGATTTTTTCTTTCGTTGTTTGTAGCGTTTACCCATATAAAATGCGTGATTTTTTGGTTGATAATATATTGTCACAAACGCTCTCGAAACGGAACCGCGAACATGCTAGAGATCGAATGTGCCAGAGCACCGCGGGTCACGGTAGAGGTCGAGTAATGCGGCTCATTCTAAAATGAGCCTTACGCAGTGTGGTGTAAGGGAGAAAGTGCAACGATATCTGCACTTGTTTACAAGTTATGCACGTTACCTGCGTAGGTATAAGTAGGTACTTTGTACTCGCGGGTGCTAGCTAATTCTCAATTTAACAGGTACTTTCTAGAATGCGTCGATCGGCGAATATAAGCGCAACTGGCGCCGCGCAAAGACAGTTGAGTTTCAACAGCGATTTCGGAGCGAATCCAAAGGCGAATAAAGTGAAACAAAAGTGATCAAGTGAGATTGTTTAGAGACTTGTATAGTGAAATACAGTGTTTAGTGAGTGTTTTGTGATTAACATTGTGTGTTAATTGTGTGAACTGTGTGGTGAATAAAGAACTGTCAAGCGTGAACTGGCATATAATTTCGAACCCCATCTCGACACGTAACAATATTATAGTGATTAATGTTGTATAGGCAATGGTAAACGGGTTCTGCCTCTCCGCTAGTAAGGTGGGCTTTACCAGCGGATGCGTGGTGCTCGTTTCCGCAACAGACGGGAGGCGGTACGGTGGGCACTAGGCCGCGAACTCAGCCCCCACGCGCGGGCTATCCTGCGCACGTCTGCGGGGTCCCCGCGATACCCCGGGAGACCCCTGCCGTGAAGCCCCGGTTAGGCCGGGAGGCTGCTGGGTGCGACAACGCGGAAGAATCCCTAAACGGGGATCCTGCGGCTTCGCACTAAGACCTCATCATATCCTGATTTAAACCCTCTGTAGTGACGAAGGCGTTGCACAGACACAAAAAGGTGGGATTATTGGTCCAATTTCCAAGTATTTCAAGGGACCCATGGGCAAAGGATTGGATCAGCATTCACAAATTTAATCAAAAATGTTGGATGCTTTTGTTTTTGTGACATTTGTTAAATTTGGAACATACAACTGATAAAAGAGAAAATACTGATTTGAACAAATACGCAAGAGTCGAGAGAAGTGTCATACTGTCTAGACATATAATGTACAATTAAATTATAACAAAATATTAATATTAATATTTTGTTATAATTGATTATTATATAATTATTATTTTTATATTCTCTCGAAATTGGTCTTCCGAAATATTCATATTTTCTTTAAATTATATACTACCTGTTTAATAGAATTAACATTTTCTTTGAGTCGCTTGGTTTTCCTTTTTTACTTCTTATTTTGCAATTAAAGGCTTTTTTTTTGTTTTCAAATAATAGACATAGACTTCGGTCTAGTTTCCTTTTTCTAATTATAACAAAGTCTTTGATGTCTGTCCACCCGTTTGTTAGCAGGCTGTACGTCAGGAATCGTAATGGGTTAAAAATTTTACAGTGTGTATATCTGTTACCGCTCTATAACAAACAATAATAAAAAAACTTAATTTTTTCGCTCGACAAATAAACATATTTCAATGTTGAACATTGTGGGACGCTTTGTTGCTAAGTTGTTGTTGTAATTGTACGTCGCTGCGAAACTACGTACTACTATCATAGAAGTTTTTTTCCTATACTCACACCAATTAGCATAGCCCCAAAGTAAGCACTGTAAGGCTTGTGTTATGGGATGCTAGGGATGCTAGGGATGCTAGGGATAGAATACATATAAAAATATATTTATATAGAAATACACATCAAACATCCATGACATGAGTACAATTGCTTGTATTCATCACACAAATATCTGCCCCCACCGAGATTGGAATTTGGGACCTCTCTAGTCGGCGTACAAACCACCTGGCCACGGAGCTCGTCATCTCCTGGGTCGAGGAGTTATCCTCTATAATCGCGATAGTAGAAGAGGGGATTTTGGGTTTTAATCGAGAGCAGCAGAATAGGGGACAGCCTCGAGGCAGTCTTGAATCTTGTAAAGTATTCCCACCACGTCGGAGCCCTTTAAAGGGGGTACGTATAGGGCAGCAAAAAAACCAAATCGGCCATTACTTGTGGTCGTGTCCAAATCGTCAGCCTTTTGGTTAGGAGCTACTGGAGGGTTCAGGGAACATTACCTACAAAATTGGTTTAAAGACAGATACGAGATACGAACACTGTCCAACTTTTTATGGTAGTATGATAGATCTGCCATTTTTGTTCATGTGCCTTTTTTGCAAATACGCCTTGAGTTTTCTGAGTTTCTAGCTTTACACTTATTGTTATCACCACTGCAATGTTAGTCGATGTGTTTTACTACTTAGAGTGATGTCTGTATCCGTTAAATATTTTACCATAATTAAGAATGAAAACAAAATATAATATTGGTAATTCATTTATTATATATGTATATCTATTTTAAATAATTACTTAAAATTATAATGACTACTTAATCAGAAACAATATTTAATAATATCGTTAGTTGATCCAGGTTATCCTTGTGTGCTATCAGTCAGTTAAGGATTTTTAGAATTATGCTTCCAAAAAACATTTGTCATAATGTTTTTTCTTTCGAATCACCATAATTTAAATCTAATCTTATAACAAACTAAACATATATACTATTTACAATCACAATGAGTACAGCAGTTGTTTATCCCCAGAATTTGGTGAAGGTCAATCCTCCTGATGGTTGCCAGTTGGTGTTGAAGTGGGGGGAAACGGACTTCGAGAACCCAGCGTTGAGATCCACGGAGGAGGAGGGAGAGTGGAACAGGTTCAGCTTGCCCATCGCTGAGTAGTCGGTGCGGTCCAGGAATGGGGTCCTGGCAGCGCCCAGGGTCGCGCCCACACGGTCCCTGTAAAGTAGAAATAAAATTGGATTAATATGTGTTAATCATTGAAAGAATGAAGTAGATCACAAGCATGTGTGTAGCGTAAATAAAAGTGATTTAAATATTCAATAAATATCTCAGTCCGATAATGATGAGTCCAAGTAAATCAAGCAAATAATATTTATTGTAAAAAAGAAGTGGTTTTAACGACTCACTTGAACATGTAGTCCAGGTTGCCTCCAACTGTATTAAAGTTGGGCACTTGCGGGATGTTGGGCATGTTCTTGGTGATGAAGGCGTTGGCATTGAGGTTGTGGTTCTGGTTGTGGAGCAGGTTCAGCTTCCCCGCACCGGTCAGCTGGCTGCCGAAGCCAGGAATGTTTGTCTGGGACACTGACAGACCGTGGCCATTCCTGAAATGAGACAAAGCTATTAATACAAACACTTTTTCAATGTACATGATAAAGTAAGGTTATATTAAACCGAGAACTTACACATTATCTAAAGCGAGTCCTTTGCTGATGGCTCCCGTTGAGGACTTGGATAACAAGGCGCTGAGTGCATTATTATCGGTGTGGGCCAAGCCCAGCTTGGTGGCGAAGAGCGAGGAGCCGTCGGAGTTGAGGGTCATGGAGGCGGCGTTCTGGCTGTACACCCCTGCGAAGAGCAGCGCCAGCGGCAGCACGAGGGACCACATGTTTAGGGCGGAGTGTGGAGGAAGACTGTACTGCATATGACACGGGACGCTGGGAAGCGAATGATGCTGGCTCGTCTTACACTACAGTTTTTAAACGAGCGCGAGGGAACTTCCCGATAACGCACAGCAGATAAATGATATTCGTGTAGCTTTGGATTTTCACAGTCCAATTTGATTTTGCGACCTATTAAATAACTAGATGAAGTTAATATTAGATTAATATTTGGTTTATTATAGGTATAAAATATAGTTAGGTATATAATTATTTAAAGAGCCACCAATTATTTTTTAAGCATCTGCTTAAAATATAAATTTCAAGTAATTTATATAAAAAAGTTGAATAATGTTGTTGTTGTTTTACTTGTCTTATATATTTAACTTTTTTTTTGTATTTTTTATAGTATTTTAATCAGATATTAAATCCATATAAGATACAATATTTAATCCATAAACAATACAATGACAATAATAGTTATGGCCTGAAAAGGCTGCGAAACGTCAATAAACAAATAAAATCAGTGCATATAATCCGTTGACACTTGTTTTATTTAATCAATAATGAATAAAATTCAATCATATTAATCATCATTTAAATAAAAATAGAATTAAGGTTTAGTTTTTTTTAACCTAGCAAGATCCGCATCCAGCGGTGCTGTATAGGACAATCCCAGCGACCGACAACCATCCGCAGGATGCCATTGCAACTACCTCGCAGTCGCTGCTGTAGCGATGCAACTTTCGAACGATCGAACGCGGTTAATTATCTTTGTTTATTACAAACAAGATGGTAAATCATACAAGATTTCATAGTCTTGACAAATAAAAGTGTTATTTTCGCAACAAAAAGTCGCTTCTTTTCCTTTTTAGGGTTCATCAAACTTCTAAGCCAAAGCAATCAAAAGATACAGCCGTTTTTGCCGCAAAGTAACGTCTTACACATAAAGGAAAAATTGCGAAAACCATAAATATTTAGTTATATCATATATCCTGGAGATCCTTGGGGAGGCCTATGTCCAGCAGTGGGCGTCGGACGGCTGATATGATGATGATGATCATATAATAAATTTTCTTTTATGAAAATTCAGTTTTGTACGGAACCCTCGGTGCGCGAGTCCGACTCGCGTTTGGTCGGGTTTTTTATGTTAATAGAGTGGCAAGCAAGGGTATAGCCCACCAAATGGTAAGCGGCCACCTTTGCTTATAGATGCTTGCGATACCAAAAATATCACTCACAGTGTTGCCCACCCAGATGTACTCCGTGGAGCCCTGGAACCTTACTCATCGACAGTTAAACAAAACCACCAAAAGGTAGGTAATTGTTGTTACTGTGATCTTCTGATTTAAAAAAGATAGGGCACAGCGAACCTTCGCCTTACAGAATACCACAGAAAAATAACACTAGAATCTGTGCGGAGAAAGAATGGGCGTGGAAAACGGAACTAACATTAAGATTTTTATTTGGCAATCAAACCCAGCAATCTGTAAAACGTCAAAGTTTTGTATTGATACGTATTTGTTTGTAGTTGTGATTTCTTGCGGTTTTTTGTATTTAATCATGTCTAAAAGGGGTAAAACATTACAAATGCGGTAGAAAAGCACTACAGCGCCCTCCAATCTAAATCCCATTCTCTTTCCTCACAGACTCTACCTTTTGGTGGTGTTGCGTTTCTGTCTGTGTGTAAGGTTCCAGGCTCAACAGGGTAGGGGATTAGGTCAGGGTAGACAACGGTGTGAGTGATATTTTTGTGTCTCAAGCGTCGGCTATGATGGACGCTTAACATCAGGCGGGCCATATGCTTGTTTAATACCCATTGAACAAAAACAAAAGTATGGACCCACTTATGTAGGTATATAATCTAGCATTAATAACCTAAATCTTTGTTCTATTCACGAAAAATACCGCAAACCACAATATTTATCGTGCAGAAGTTATGTTTATGCGGTAACTGTATGTGTTAGGTTATTCACATGTTATCAAATGTTTGAGACGCTGCTCTTTAAATGAGCCGTGAATCAGAGTTCATTGGGGCGAAGATAATTTCATTTCACGCTCAGGATTCCCCTACAGAGGATGCAAAATTTTATTATTATACTTGTCGCTTTGATGATATAATTGTGAGAAACAAAGAGACGAGCGACGCTTTGTATTTTATTTATAATAAAGTTTGTGAATTCTGAAAACCGTATCTCGGGTCTTTAAATAAATATTATGTCTGACACATGGGCGATGGGTTATTGTCATATTATACCGACTAACATACATAATTATTATATTTATGCCATTCCAATATTTTAACCGACTTCACAAAGGAGGAGGTTCATTGTTTAATGTCGCATCGTTTAATTGGTTACAATGATATCAAATACCCTAGATCAACGATATTAAATACCCTAGATACACCATGAGCGCTCGAAATGTGTCCCAATCAAGAAGTGCTTGAACTCCACTAAAGCAATTCTTGGTTCGCAGTCACGCGCGGCATGCGGCATCTTGACTTTTCAGCGGTGCGCGAGAGCTCCGTGAAAAAATGAGAATAAATACTTATAATACGTAAGTGTCGTTTTTTCGACAGGTATCTAATCAATATTTGGTAATTTAAAGCAAATTCGTTCTAGGAAATGAAGCTAAAAAAATGGTAAAATCTCGCATTTTTTTTGTCCAGCACCGATTTGTACAAAAATTTGGGATTAGGCTTATTCCATCCCTCTTGTTCATTTTCTATATTATGCCGTTGTACGCTTTTTGTTTTTTAGGGGTTGAAAGCTACCCCTTGTTATCAAAAATTATAAAATAAAATTAAAAACCTAAATATGGGTAAAAATACTTAAAAATTATTGTTTCATGCTTTAGGATACAATTTCATAATCTTTCAACTGACCCTAGTGAAAAACTACTCTTAAAAACTAATTTTTGTTTAAGAAAAAAAAATTGATCGGTTTTTTAAGCATAGCTCCTTCATTCTAGGTGATAGAAATTTTTTTTTGGAAACAAATTTGTAGAGATTTTCAGGACCTATAAAACTATGTGAATTAAATTACTTAAGATCCCTTAATTTTTAAATGGGGACAGTTTAAAGCGCTTGAATAAGATGATGTTCGATTGTAAATATAGGTGTGAAACGGCTATATCTCGCCGAATATTCACTGTACAAAAAATATGCACAAAGGGAAATTGTCATTAAAAAAGCTATAATAAATTGTACTAAAGAACTTATTGTTTTTCCGTATCTTTAGTGTTTTGAGAGATATTTTTAAGAAAATGGTGAAAAACACGAAATTGAAAAAAAAAAACGGTTTTCTCTTTAAACTCCATTTATTCTAAAATTTGGCACTTTAAATTGGTCAAACTTCGTGGGTGTATTTATAGTACATATATAAAGAGAATTACGGAAGGGTGGCGATCAATTTTAATTACCGGGTACTTTAGGGGTTGTTTTCACAGATTTTTTTCGTAGAAAAAAGCGGGTACCGATCTTATTTTGTTCTAGCTAGAGACATTGTTTTTTATTTGTTTGAAAGCTCTAATTAAATACTTTAAAATGAGCTTTGAGCTTTCTTCGAATAATGCAAATTTTTCTCTTTTTTTCCCTGTAAATCTTCCAATTTATGCATTTGACAAAAAAAAAGCTACCTAAGCATTAATTTGCTGTATCTTAGTTCATATTTGTCATAGAAAAAATATAAAAAACGCATTGGTATCGTTTTTCAAAAAGCTACAATTTGACTCACTACACCTTTTTTGGTAAAATGCATGTTTTTAAAGTTATTCGCAAAAAAAAAAAACATTTAAAAAGTCTATTTTTTCGTCAAAAATTTGTAACTTTCAACTTTGAATAACTCAAAAAATATTAGTTTTACGAAAAAAACGTTTATTAAATTTTTGTCTAAGAATAACTTTTTCCTTCGATTCCTACAATTGAAATGTAATAAAAAATTTTCCACCCCCGAGATGGGGTGACAACTGCCCCCAAGGCTCTAGCGTACAGCGGCATGATATAGAAAATGATCCTTGAGCTGTTCCCTACATTTTGTGAAAATTGTGGACGAAAAAAAACGATTATTGAAATATGATCCATTCTTGAATATCTAATGGGTCCTGACTGTTAAAGTAGCTTTGCTCTTTAAACAGAATGATAGACTACTGGACTTGTTTTTTTCTTTTCAGTTTTATATTTTATTTAACATTTGAGCAGTCGAGTTGTTTGATTTTTAAATTTATCTTTTTTTTGCCAATACGCCTTGAGTTTTCTAGCTTTACTAATAATATTATCACCACTGCAATGTTAGTTTATGTGTATTTCTAATAAAGTGTTTTATTACTAAGAGTGATGTCTGTATCCGTTAAAATATTTTACCACAAATTGAGAATGAAAACGAAATAAAATATAGTTAATTCATATATTTATGGTATATCTTTTAAAATAATTTTACTTAACCTTCTAATGACTACTTAAACACAAACAATATTTAATAATATCGTTGGTTTAGCAAGGTTGTAGTTATTCTTGTGTGCTATCAGTCAGTTACAGATTTTAAGAATTATGCTTCCAAAAAAGCTTTTCTCATAATGTTTTTTCTTTTCAAATCACATCATTTAAATCTAATCTTATAACAAAATAAACATAGGTACTATTTACAATCACAATGAATACTGCAGTTCTTTATCCCCAGAATTTGGTGAAGGTCAATCCTCCTGATGGTTGCCAGTTGGTGTTGATGTGAGGGGAGACGGACTTGGAGAACCCAGCGTTGAGGTCCACGGAGGAGGAGGGGGAGTGAAACAGGTTCAGCTTGCCCATCGCTGAGTAGTCGGTGCGGTCCAGGAATGGGGTCCTGGCTGCACCCAGGGTCGCGCCCACGCGGTCCCTGTAAAGAGGAAATAAAATAAGATTAATATTTGTTCATCATTGAAAAAATATAAGTAGATCACAAGCATGTGTGTAGCTCAAATAATAGTGATTCAAATGTTCAGAAAAAAACGAAGTCCCACAATGATAAGTTCGAAGTAAATCAAGCAAATACACATAATATTATATGAAAGAAGTGGTTTTAACGACTCACTTGAACATGTAGTCCAGGTTGCCTCCAACTGTATTAAAGTTGGGCACTTGCGGGATGTTGGGCATGTTCTTGGTGATGAAGGCGTTGGCATTGAGGTTGTGGTTCTGGTTGTGGAGCAGGTTCAGCTTCCCCGCGCCGGTCAGCTGGCTGCCGAAGCCAGGAATGTTTGTCTGGGACACTGACAGCCCGTGGCCATTCCTGAAATGAGACAAAGCTATTAATACAAACACTTTCTCAATGTACATCGATATATTAAGGTTATATTAAACCGAGAACTTACACATTATCTAAAGCGAGTCCTTTGCTGATGGCTCCCGTTGAGGACTTGGATAACAGGGCGCTAAGTGCGTTATTGTCGGTGTGAGCCAAGCCCAGTTTGGTGGCGAACAGCGAGGAGCCGTCGGAGTTTAGGGTCATGGAGGCGGCGTTTTGGCTGTACACCCCTGCGCAGAGCAGCGCCAGCGGCAGCACGAGGGACCACATGGTTAAGGCGGAGTGTGGAGGAGGACAGTACTGCACACGACATGGGACGCCGGGAAGCGAATGATGCTGGCTCGTCTTACACTACAGCTTTTAAACGAGCGCGAGGGAACTCCCCGATAACGCACCACAGATAAATGATCTTCGTGTAACTTTGGATTTTCCCAATTTGATTTTGCGACCTATTAAATCACTGGATGAAGTTTATATTAGATTAATATTTGTTTTATTATTATTAACGGTATTTCATGTGTAGCAATAAAATTATTTAAAGTGCCAACAATTTTTTTTAGCATGCGCTTCAGATTTAAATTTCAAGTTATTTATATAAAGGAGATTGCTCAGCTTCCATACATGTTTGGCCTAAAGACCAATAATCATGAAAAATTGTTTCCTAGATTCGAAATTGTATATAAATGTGTCATTTCCGGTTATAATAAGGTACTCTGTGACAGAAACTGTGTGATGATTGTGAATGAGCCACAGATTAGAGTGAATTTTTAAACTCTCGTTAACTAAAGAAAGCTGAGAGATTTAGGTTCTATAGCCATATATTCAGTAGCTTCATTATTTTTGTTATGTTTTTAAGATAACAATATTTTAGATTTTTAGTGTATCACACCGTATAATTTTATTTATTTATTAATTTATAGTCAGGGAACGTAGGCCCATAGAAGATACCTTAAAGTCTAATCTATATACAGATTATAATGTGTTTATGGAGGTGTTTGGCGAAAAATGTATGGCAACAGACTTTATGATGTCGCCTAACATCTATATTAATTATCTGAGCACATTTGCACCTAGTGAAAATGATAATATAGTTGTGGATATTAATACCACAGTGTAATAAAAAAAATGACTTATTTTATCGGTCTTTACAATTCTGTTTTTAGTTTAGTTGTATAAACAGCTTCGATCAGTCTTTGGCTGAATGTTACTACACCCATAGCCATTAAAAATGATTCGTATGTTTTCCAAACCGGTAAAATTAAAAGTCCTTTTTAAAGTAAATATATATATATATATATATTATATTTGTATAAAAGGTGTCCGTTGAAATCTAATGGCTGTAAAAGAATTACCTTGTATGTCAATATTTTTTGTGCATTTAGGCCAATTTGAGCAATCTCATTTAAAGTTGAATAATGTTGTTGTTGCTTTACTTTTCTTAGGTATTTAACTTTTTTTGTATTTTTTATATTTTTTTATTCAGATATTAAATCCATACAAGATACAATATTCAATACATAAACAGATGATAATGATAGTTAAATTCATTTATATCATAATAAATCAAAATAATTATCATTAAATTTAAAATAAAATTAAGGTTTCAAAGTGTTTCACCCAGCAAGATCCTCATACAGCGGTTAGAGATGGAAAAAACGGCTTATTTCTTAAAAGCGTTTAAAAGTTGTACTTTTTAAAATAAGCGCGCTTGAAAAAAAGCTTTTTCGTTTAAACGCTTATTGGCTTAAACGTTCAAAAGCATGCGTAAAAAGCGCGACGTTGTGTTGTGTTTTCGTTTAGGTATATCGTTTAAAAAAGCGTGAAAAGTTTATTGTCGTTTTTAATGTGTTTAAGTGTTTTATTGCGTTTTTTCTTCTTATTAATGAAATTTTTATTAACAAGTTTTTTTAAACCTAATGAATTGATTGGCATTAAAAACGAAAGATTTTCAATTGAATTTAGATTTTATAATAAACATTTTTATAATAGTCAATGAACTTTCCTTCGTACTTTACAAGCTTAGGACTGTCTGGAGTTAATATACTCGTGATCCAGGCGTACTTAAAAGTTCATTGATTTTATATACATACTTTTAACTATTTTATATGCACATTAAACCAATACACGAAACGCATTAGCACAAGCAAGCATGCAAACACACCGTACAACACCCACGCGCTCTTACCCCGTCACAGTGACAAGCGTACTGCTTTTCCGCGGAATTCCGCGTACCCATTTTTCGATACTGTAGTGGAATAGAAGGATCGAAGTATGCAAAGACATAGATGGCGGGATTTGCACTTTTTAAGTAAAAAATAAGCACTTTTTTAAGTGAAAAGCTTACTCACACTTTTTAAGTGAAAAGCTTATAACGCTTATACTTAAAAGCGTGCTTACAAGCTTAATATTTTAAGCGCTTTTCGTTTAAACGCCCACCGCTACGATATTTCGCTATAACAAAAAATTTAATAAAATAAATATTAAAGGGGTCTTCCAAGGGGACATGATTTTATTGTAATTTTTTCCTCGATATTATAATATTTCAAATCGGTCTAGCAGCTTCGGAGCCTATTTAATACAAACAAACAAACAATCAAATCTTTCCTCTTAATTATATTTAGTATGGATATAAATTAATGTTACATTACTGTTGATCTACATTTTCATTAGTTAAAATCTCATTTCAAATATAATCTGATGATCAAAGGATAATGTCGAGTCCAAGATAAGGTACTTGAATGATCAAAAGTCTCTGGGAATAAATGAGACTTGGCTCATTGAAGTATGCAAAATCTTGTCATTAAATTCAGTCATATAACGCAATATTCATACAATACATTGTATTATTGCCCTTCTTTTCAGCAGATTAAAGACGTCCTGAATAGTATAACCCTGAATATTATACATCTAGTATAACCTGTACCCTTGTGGTAGAAAAAATACTGGACAAATGAAAAGAGCTCTTTATAAGTCAATTTGAATATAGTGTTATTTATGTTGAAATGGTGACAAACTAGCGTATGGCCTGTCTGATGGTAAGCGGTCACAATATCTTATAGACGCTTGCTACACCAAAATATTCTATACTCCAGTTCCTGCCATGGCCACAATCAGAGGAGACAACCGAGTTTGGTTTCTTATGCGACCAAATTACAGGGTCCATCGTGTGGCGTCCACCATACTCCGTCGTGTGTCGTCAACCATCGACCATCCTGTCACCGATCCGATTCACCATCGATTTTCCTGTCGTCCAGTACGACCACCGCAGCGTCACCATCTCCATCTTCTCTGGGCCCGGACCTACCTTTGGCAGAACTACCAGGAGAGTACCAACTCTGGCCAAGAAAGCAAAGAACGTCCAATTTTTGTAACGGGTTTTTTTACCCGGGCACTTCGAACCAAGCCCAAAATAAATTTTGTTGTTTGCACCAGGGGTCTAGTTTCATTTAATCACCCGTGGAACGTAACACTGGCTCAACTGAATTACCTATTCCCGTGAAGCACTGGAACCTTACATATCGATAAAACACCAAAGTAGTGGTATTTTACTGTTATCTTCTGTAAGATGAAGGTTACTTCCCCACTCGGGCGCTTTGTTGAAAATCTGTTATACCCAACTTCTTTTAAAATTATATTTCAATAAATTTCGATTTTCACACCAACGAACGGACCTCACACCTAGCCTCTCGCAAGTTTCATGAGTGCGAAACATAGAAGCCCTTAAGCAGTCCTCGTGGCTTACGAGCGTTTACGGCATACTATCCGCTAAAACTCCCTGCGAATACCCACTACGCTGTTAAGTGCGGAACCCGTTGACAGACTTCACCGCTTCTCCATACTGGACAGCCTCCCGGCCTAGCCGGGGCATCGGGCTCCACGGCAGGGATCACCCAGGGTATTTCGGGAGATCCCGCAGACGTGTGCAGGACTGCCCGCGCTAGGCGCTAAGTGCGCGGCCTATTGCCCACCGCATCGCTCCCGTTCATGGAATTCTATCCGTTAACCTAGTATCCCATAACACAAGCCTACAGTTCTTACTTTGGGGCTAGGCCAATTGGTGTGACTGTTGGAAATATTTATTCTTTATTTCACAAGTATTGGACGTGAGATTAATTCAATATTGAGATGTGGCTATACTAATACATTTTTTCATAATTTTCGGGGGACAAATATTCGGATATCCTGTGCGTTTAGTCTGTGATAAGTCCACCACGGACATTTTCTTCACGATTGAGGGACTTTTGTAATTTGTCTACATAATTACCTTTGCCATTATTTGAACTCATGTTATTTATATAGGTCTGTAATTTACCTCTTACAACTACGCACAGATAAGAACAAAAACAATGTTTATAAATAAACTGCTATAAATATACTTGGTTTGTAACATTTCTGAAGACAGGTCAATATAGATAAAAAAGTTAACGATATTGTTTTCAGAATTTTGCGTTCGGTTTACGATTTTTGTTAGATAAGCAATATCGCAAGGACCATTATTAAGATGAGTAGCAAGTGGCAAAATTGTTGTCTCGAGTTGTGCGTGTAATTTTTTCTGAAACTCGTGTTGAACGCATAGTTAACTTTTATGTGGTAATAATGCGAGTTTTTAAAGTTAAAATACCTCAATCACTATAACAAACATGACTATTGAAAATAACGTATCATATATATCTGAAATATAATTAATTGAATTTCATCTCGGTTACTTTATTTGAGATAATATTGAAAGGGGCACGAACTGGGGAAATACGTGGCTACGCGAAGATAAATTTTAGCGGCTTGTTATCGGGGAGTTCCCTCGCGCTCGTTTAAAAGCTGTAGCGTAAGACGAACCAGCATCATTCGCTTTCCGGCGTCCCGTGTCGTGTGCAGTACAGTCCCCCTCCACACTCCGCCCTCAACATGTGGTCTCTCGTACTGCCGCTGGCGCTACTCTGCGCAGGGGTGTACAGCCAAAACGCCGCCTCCATGACCCTAAACTCCGACGGCTCCTCGCTCTTCGCCACCAAGCTGGGCTTGGCCCACACCGACAATAACGCACTCAGCGCCTTGTTATCCAAGTCCTCAACGGGAGCCATCAGCAAAGGACTCGCTTTAGATAATGTGTAAGACATCAGTTTAATATAACCTTACTATATCGATGTACATTGAGAAAGTGTTTGTATTAATAGCTTTGTCTCATTTCAGGAATGGCCACGGGCTGTCAGTGTCCCAGACAAACATTCCTGGCTTCGGCAGCCAGCTGACCGGCGCGGGGAAGCTGAATCTGCTCCACAACCAGAACCACAACCTCAATGCCAACGCCTTCATCACCAAGAACATGCCCAACATCCCGCAAGTGCCCAACTTTAATACAGTTGGAGGCAACCTGGACTACATGTTCAAGTGAGTCCTTAAAACCACTTTTTCTTACAAAATTATTAGTTTGATTTACTTGGAACTCATCATTGTGAGACTTTGAAACTTATTTAAATTTTCAATCACCATTATATGAGCTACTCTCAAATGATTGACAAACATTCATCCAATTATATTATTTTTACTTTATAGGGACCGTGTGGGCGCGACCTTGGGCGCTGCCAGGACCCCATTTCTGGACCGCACCGACTACTCGGCGATGGGCAAGCTGAACCTGTTCCACTCCCCCTCATCCTCCGTTGACCTCAACGCTGGGTTCTCGAAGTCAGTCTCCCCTCACATCAACACAAACTGGCAACCATCAGGAGGATTGACCTTCACCAAATTCTGGGGATAAACAACTGCAGTATTTTGTGTTGTAAATAGTACTTACGTTGTAAGTGATTATAGGTAGAGCGGTTAACTGAATCCTCGCCTGCGGGGTAAAGGGTGTGGGGGAAGACGAAAACGGGGACTGTGAGAGATGCGGGTAGGCACATTCAAGTCAAAATTACAAGTGCCCGCCGCTCGCACCTCTCACGATCCCCGTTCTAGTCCTCCCCCACACCCCGTACCCCGCAGGCGAGGTGTCAGTTAAGCGGTTTACCTATAGGTATAAAAACATTGTGCACTCTCTAAACGTGATTAGAATGTTATTATTCTTCTGTGATCATTCTTGAAATGTAAATATATAATTATTGTTTGAAGAGAACAACATTAATATGACAAAAGCTTTTTTGTATGTAATGAGCAAAAATCTTTAAATGAACTGATAGCACATAAGTATGTTAATTTATTTGTATTAAGATGATCAACAAATTTTATCATTAAATAATAATTTTAAGTAGTGTTTTAAGTTTGTGTTATTATTATTTTTCAAAATAACGAATCAAATAAATATTCATAAGTCAACGTTTTTATTGTTTTATTATTACTTAAAATTATATTCAATAAAAAGAAAAGTACCTATTTACTTGCAATTTTTTATTCTTAACTAGCGGCCCGTCTGGCTTCGAATGGGTGCCTCGTATTATATTAATGTCAAATTAAGACGCATTGGGATTTTAATACAAAAACATCATAACCATTCTAAGCGAGACCGGCTAGATCTGCATTAGGGGTTGAAAATAACAAAGGAATTCCCAAATCGTACATACAGAGCAATTGTACATTAAAAAGAAAATTAGTAATAAAAGCCGCCTTACCTTATTTTCTCGAACATATTTGTCATAGTTCTGAAAACACAGTGGCTAGAAAATACGGTATCTTTGTATAGTATTTTACAGGAGATCGCACACGTTAAACACTTTTTAGCAAAAAAAAATATAACGCTGCAAAGACTGAAAAGAGAACAATATACCTTATTTTCTTTATCCAAATTAATATTTAGAGTTGATTCCATACTAACCCAAGTAGTAACTGGGAACACAGATCTATCAGGTACCGACTCCAAATATTACTAAAGATAAAAAAGGTTAATGTATCTTCGTTTCTTTCTTAGGGATCGCTAAACGGTTTTTGAAGACCTATTCAATGATACGTTCGGGTAGACGATGAAAAAAAACACCCCCACTTTACATCTACCTAGCTACCCTAAATAAGGATTTTTCCCAATATTTACATGGGACTTACTTCGAAGTATCCTTTTAAAAAATGTCAAAATCAGACTATTTTGTAATAAGTTATGCGTGATCATAATATATAAAAAAATATTATACGGATATATACGCGTCGACTTGATGATCTCCTCCGTTTTTTTCGTTGGTTAAAAATTCACCGAATATTTTTCTAATCACACATCGAAGCCACGAAAGTTCGTAAGCAACAACCACCGCAATAATAACTGCAGTGAAGAACGCATCGCTAGTGCGGTGCGCACACGCAGATCACATACGTTGGGCGATATCGATTCAATTTGAATGATTTCCGAATTAATCTCCCAATATACAAGCAGTCTAGGCTTGTATATTTTATGTACATACTTGAAAAATGGCCAAATTAAAGTAATTAGCCAGTTTATACATTGTTTACTATCATGCTACGCCTTTAATAATCTGCCAAACTCAAGAAAAATCGCGTGAAAAAAGGAGGGCATAGCGAATTTTTCGCTCGAAAGGAAGCTTCCAACTGAGAAAGTAACCTCCACCATATACAATACCACAGTTAAATAACACTAACTACCTTTTGGATGTGTTGTATTTCTGTCGGCGTGTAAGGTTCTAGTAGGAAGTAGTGGAGGATGGGGTCAGGGTAGGGAACAATGTAACGCGGAAGTATCCCTAAAAGGGGATCCCGTGGCTTCGCACTAAGCAGCTTAGAGGGTATTCGCAGGGTTTTTTAGCGGATATTATGCCGTAAAGTGCCCGTAAGAGTTACGGGGTCCTCAGGGCAGCCACTGCGGGGGCCCGTAAAGCTTGCGGGAGCGGTGTGAAGTCCGTTCGATGGTGTGCCTCTTAAACAGAGGTTTTACCTGCGTTACCAAAAAAAAAGGGTAGGGAACAATGTGTTGTTAGAGGTAAGTGGTTTAGTATCGCAAGCTGCTGCAGACAACAAAACGATTGACTAATCTACGCATTATGAAGGAAAATCAGCGTCACAATATCAAGTATCACATTAAAATCTTTGATAGTTTAAATCTAAAGAAAATATAACTAGAAAAAATTCCACGCGGACCAGGCAGCAGACGGGACTCGAACCCGCACCCTTCGCAATCCGGGCGAATGCACTGACCAATTATGCTACCGCGGCCCTCACGGACCGCGTCGAAATTCTTTCTAGCTATTCTTAAGCTGCAAGGCAGCGCCATCTCTTCGCATTATAGGTAAACCCACAATGTCAAATGAATACTTTTACAAGTATTAAACATTTGAAAGAAGAAATAGCAATTATAGTTATAATTTTTATTATTTTTAAAGCATGTAACTGCTTGATGTTTAAATCTAAAGAAAATATAACTAGAAAAAATTCCACGCGGACCAGGCAGCAGACGGGACTCGAACCCGCACCCTTCGCAATCCGGGCGAATGCACTGACCAATTATGCTACCGCGGCCCTCACGGACCGCGTCGAAATTCTTTCTAGCTATTCTTAAGCTGCAAGGCAGCGCCATCTCTTCGCATTATAGGTAAACCCACAATGTCAAATGAATACTTTTACAAGTATTAAACATTTGAAAGAAGAAATAGCAATTATAGTTATAATTTTTATTATTTTTAAAGCATGTAACTGCTTGATGTTTAAATCTAAAGAAAATATAACTAGAAAAAATTCCACGCGGACCAGGCAGCCGACGGGACTCGAACCCGCACCCTTCGCAATCCGGGCGAATGCACTGACCAATTATGCTACCGCGGCCCTCACGGACCGCGTCGAAATTCTTTCTAGCTATTCTTAAGCTGCAAGGCAGCGCCATCTCTTCGCATTATAGGTAAACCCACAATGTCAAATGAATACTTTTACAAGTATTAAACATTTGAAAGAAGAAATAGCAATTATAGTTATAATTTTTAAAGCATGGTCAGTGCATTCGCCCGGATTGCGAAGGGTGCGGGTTCGAGTCCCGTCTGCTGCCTGGTCCGCGTGGAATTTTTTCTAGTTATATTTTCTTTAGATTTAAACATGAAGCAGTTACATGCTTTAAAAATAATAAAAATTATAACTATAATTGCTATTTCTTCTTTCAAATGTTTAATACTTGTAAAAGTATTCATTTGACATTGTGGGTTTACCTATAATGCGAAGAGATGGCGCTGCCTTGCAGCTTAAGAATAGCTAGAAAGAATTTCGACGCGGTCCGTGAGGGCCGCGGTAGCATAATTGGTCAGTGCATTCGCCCGGATTGCGAAGGGTGCGGGTTCGAGTCCCGTCTGCTGCCTGGTCCGCGTGGAATTTTTTCTAGTTATATTTTCTTTAGATTTAAACATGAAGCAGTTACATGCTTTAAAAATAATAAAAATTATAACTATAATTGCTATTTCTTCTTTCAAATGTTTAATACTTGTAAAAGTATTCATTTGACATTGTGGGTTTACCTATAATGCGAAGAGATGGCGCTGCCTTGCAGCTTAAGAATAGCTAGAAAGAATTTCGACGCGGTCCGTGAGGGCCGCGGTAGCATAATTGGTCAGTGCATTCGCCCGGATTGCGAAGGGTGCGGGTTCGAGTCCCGTCTGCTGCCTGGTCCGCGTGGAATTTTTTCTAGTTATATTTTCTTTAGATTTAAACATCAAGCAGTTACATGCTTTAAAAATAATAAAAATTATAACTATAATTGCTATTTCTTCTTTCAAATGTTTAATACTTGTAAAAGTATTCATTTGACATTGTGGGTTTACCTATAATGCGAAGAGATGGCGCTGCCTTGCAGCTTAAGAATAGCTAGAAAGAATTTCGACGCGGTCCGTGAGGGCCGCGGTAGCATAATTGGTCAGTGCATTCGCCCGGATTGCGAAGGGTGCGGGTTCGAGTCCCGTCTGCTGCCTGGTCCGCGTGGAATTTTTTCTAGTTATATTTTCTTTAGATTTAAACATCAAGCAGTTACATGCTTTAAAAATAATAAAAATTATAACTATAATTGCTATTTCTTCTTTCAAATGTTTAATACTTGTAAAAGTATTCATTTGACATTGTGGGTTTACCTATAATGCGAAGAGATGGCGCTGCCTTGCAGCTTAAGAATAGCTAGAAAGAATTTCGACGCGGTCCGTGAGGGCCGCGGTAGCATAATTGGTCAGTGCATTCGCCCGGATTGCGAAGGGTGCGGGTTCGAGTCCCGTCTGCTGCCTGGTCCGCGTGGAATTTTTTCTAGTTATATTTTCTTTAGATTTAAACATCAAGCAGTTACATGCTTTAAAAATAATAAAAATTATAATCTTTGATAGTCTTTGAACTCTTGTTATTACGAGTAATATATTATTCTGTATATAGTCTAATACGTAATTTACCAATGACTACTATACGCAAATAAAAACGTAAACGGTGTTCATTAATAAACTCTTATCCACAAATAAATTGAAGGATACACCGATCTTTGTTTTGTCACTATTTCTGAGGACACGCTTAGGGCAATATTGAAAAAAACAATGTATGTTATCTTTAGGAGCATTAATTTTTACAAATTATGCTTGAGACTGGAAGGCGTATACGAGTATAATAAATCTTCTACGATTCTAAATTCCACACAACCGCTTTTTTCTTAATACAGACCTTGTTACTACAAGAACGTGAGTCATAAGTTCCACATATGATAAAAAAATGTTTAACAAATTTTGTACCAACGTGGTTTTAACTGTTTTACTTTATTATAGTACTGAACTGAGAGTTACTATTAAAAATTTTATTTTTCTCAATCAAAATCATAAGCAAGACTACACATAAAAACTTTACAAAAAAAAACTGAAAAGAAAAAATAATAAACTTTTTTATTTACGGAAATTAATAATCTTTATTACAATTGGATGTATATGTCATCTCTTTTGAACCGTCCAAAAAATATCCCTATCACTCGTTATTGGACATATTTTTTACCTGTGAAGAAAAACGAGCGAAAAAACTAGTTAACATTAAAAGAATAATGCAACAACATTTACAAATCATTTTGTTGTTACGTTACAACGTCAATACAATCACGATTTATTTCACATAGAAAACCTTTTGGAATGATTGGAACAGTTCAAACCCAAGCATTTTCGTCTTTAATATAATCATACATATTGTAATATTTTTTTTAATAAGTGCTTGGTTACTAGTATTTTTGAATTTATTTATGGGTAACTCTAAGATATTGCTTGGGACTTTATTGTATAAGCGAACAGAAAGACCTTTAAATGAATTATTGATTTTGTGAAGCTTAGTAGCAGGAAAAGTAAGTTTATTTTTGTTTCCTGCATTAAGTGTGTGAATATTACTGTTTTTAAGAAACACGTTGATATTTTTTCTTAAACATAATACATTTTCGTGTGTGTATGTATTGTGATGCGACCGTTGTTATGCCAATTTCTTTAGTCTTATCTCTGAAAGATTCATTAAGTTTAAAATTATAAATTGATTGAATAGCTGTCATCTGCAGCACAAAAATAGTTTGAATGTCACAATAAAATTCCGTACATTAATTACACTATGGAAATATTTAAAGAACACTAATCTGGCGGTATCTACATGCATTAACTGGCGTATCTTCACTACGGCATATGCTGTAGAGCCAAGTCTATTTGACAATTTATCAATATGTGGGCCCCATTGAAACTCAGAATCCAAAGCAATACCTAAGAATCCCGTGGTATCTACAGGGCGCATATTCCAATGCTTTACATTTACACTGATCTTTACCTGTTTTTCCTTCATTAATTAAAAAAAAAATAACATTGAACCAGTGGACTACCTTTGATATAGCATTGTTCACGTCGTCAATAACTGTTTCCTTGCGCTTCAGTTTAAATAAAAGTGATGTATTATTCGCGAACAATACTACCTCATGGTTATCTTTAACATAGTAAGGTAAGTCATTGATATAAATTAAAAAATAAGAAAGGACCAAGGATTGAGTCCAGCGGAACACCCATCTACATCTACACGATAATGCGAGTTCTCTCAGGCGTCAAAAATTTGTTGTATGAGTTTATCACCGGCATCGGTTGTTGAGCGACCCAGTGTGAAACCAAATTGTTTACAGTGAAATATATCAAGTTCATGAAATATGATTTCAATAACATATTTTTTTCAAAAAAAATAAACAGAATTGGTCTAAGTTTTGTGAGGTCTGATCTACTTCCCGATTTATGCAATGGAGTTATTTTAGTGTATTTCATGAGGTCAGGGAAAACACCCACAGTTAACACGATCATTAAATATGCAAGCTAGAATAAGAGCTATTGTCTCAATTACCGATTCAGAGGGATCAACGGAACCACCCCCAGATCCGCGGTTTTCTTTTTACTTAATTGGTTAACATTTTTTATTTTACCTTATAATTAAATCACGCTTAAACGGGGACAAAATTGCGTCTTTTTATTGCTTTTTTTGAGGTTTCGCATTTCTTTCAGGCTGCGTCGTCGTCAGAATTATGATTTTTATTTACTTTGTCGAGCTACCTTCGAAACACTTTTAATAAGCGTTCGGATACTTCATTAAATGATTATAAACATTTTTAATTGTTATTAACCAACATATACTAATTGTTATTTTTGTTTACATGATGAAACATAAGAAGGAAACAGTAAGTGCCTCTGAGTTTGTTGCGTCAGTTCTTCTCAAAAAGGTCTCCCAATTTGGAACTGGTTCATACATAGACATATGAATTTAATAACTAATTTAATGAAATAACTACTTCAATTAATTCTTTTTTTTTATTTTTGTTTTCATTTAATTGACCCTAACTATACCACCAGTTCCAAATTGGGAGACCTTTTTGAGAAGAACTGACGCAACAAACTCAGAGGCACTTACTGTTTCCTTCTTATGTTTCATCATGTAAACAAAAATAACAATTAGTATATGTTGGTCTTTGAGTGTGTGTTCGGGTTGGGATTTAATCTGTTGTATAATGGGTTCCCAAGCTGGTGGTATATACCAACCATCTTCTCTATTGAAATTTGAATGTTTCTCTATCTCAATAGCCTCTCGTATCATCCTAAAAATGAATCGTTGTTCAGTTGCAAGGATCTGTGGTGTATCAAATCTAATGTAATGGTTTGGTCCCCCTAATGCATGTTCACACAAAAATAATATTTTAATTAATTATTTGTTTTATTAAATGAGTGGTGTGGATGAAAACTTAAGAAACAAATATGTTAAAGTTATGAGTTTCATAACAGAAGTTTCTAAACTAATACAACAACGTAATTAAGAATCGGCACCAAACGATCAATTAACAAAGATCAAACATTTACATCAATTTAAAGAAATAACCAAATCAAATTGACAATGCAATGTGAAATCTCCAGCAATACACATTAACTTTACAAGAAGGCGCCGGAAAAAGCATTATTATTTTTTTGCCTTCAAATTTTTATGGCTTTTAAACTTTTTGTTAAACAGTTTTTATTTTACTTTTTTTTGGCAATTATATTTTTTGTGTCTCTCCGTATCTCAGCTTCAAAATCTGTGAGCGAACAATACCCCTATTTTCCCACCCTTGGGATAAGATTTTGTCAAATTTATTCGGAACGAATTCACAGATATATCTGATCTCATCCATTAAAAAAAGAATCATTAAAATAGGATTACTCTTTAAAAAGTTATGCGTGGTGGTCATACATTACAATCAGTAAGTGAACTATCAATCATACCCTGTTTCCCTACCCTTAGGGTTGGAATTTTTGCCCAATATTATATGGGACCAACTTCGGGGTATACTCTGTACAAAAAAGAATCTAAATCGGAATTCTCAGTAAGAAGTTATATCTGGTCATGCGTACAAAAAAAAAACTTTTTTTGTTTGTCAAAAATTACGTACCATCAATGACAAACTGATCTTAAATATTATTATTTTATTATCATCTCGGTTATTTTACAATACTTGATATTAAAAACAGCATGAACTGGGGCAATACGTGGAAACGCGAAAATATAAACTACAGCGGTGTCTTATCGGGGAGTTCCCTCGCGCTCGTTTAAAAGCTGTAGTGTAAGACGAGCCAGCATCATTCGCTTCCTAGCGTCCGGTGTCTTGTACATTCAGTCTTCCTCCACACTCCGCTCTCAACATGTGGTCCCTCGTGCTGCCGCTGGCGCTGCTCTGCGCAGGGGTGTACAGCCAGAACGCCGCCTCCATGACCCTCAACTCCGACGGCTCCTCGCTCTACGCCACCAAGCTGGGCTTGGCCCACACCGACAATAATGCACTCAGCGCTTTGTTATCCAAGTCCTCAACGGGAGCCATCAGCAAAGGACTCGCTTTAGATAATGTGTAAGTTCTCTGTTTATTATATAACCTTACTATTTCGTGTGTATTGATAAAGTTTCTGTATTAATAGCTTTCTCGTTTCAGGAACGGCCACGGGCTGTCAGTGTCCCAGACGAACATTCCCGGCTTCGGCAGCCAGCTGACCGGCGCGGGTAAGCTGAACCTGCTCCACAACCAGAACCACAAACTCGATGCCAACGCCTTCATCACCAAGAACATGCCCAACATCCCGCAAGTGCCCAACTTTAATACAGTTGGAGGCAACCTGGACTACATGTTCAAGTGAGTCGTTAAAACAACTTTTTCTTAAAATACTTGCTTTACTTAGAATTCACAATAGTTGGATTTAAATTATATTGAACATTTAAATCAATATTACACAAACAACAATGGCCTCGTAATTTTCAGTCTAATTAATTAATATTTTAACAGCTTTGATTAAGTAATATGAATCTAATTTTATTATTTCCTCTTTACAGAGACCGTGTTGGCGCTACCTTGGGCGCTGCCAGGACTCCATTCCTGGACCGCACCGACTACTCGGCGATGGGCAAGCTGAACCTGTTCCAGTCCCCCGCCTCCCGTGTGGACCTCAACGCTGGGTTCTCCAAAGTTTCCTCACCTTCCTTCAATACCAACTGGCAACCAGCAGGAGGATTGACCTTTACTAAATTCTGGGGATAAACCACTGCAGTATTCATTGTTATTGTAAATAGGCTATGTACTCACTCCTTATTAAGATAATGGGCTTAATTGTATTGTGCACTATCCAAACTTAATTTTAGGCATAAACATTGTATTTAGCAGCGCCCCTACCGGGGGTTAAAAACAAAATACCCTTTTCGTTAGAAACTTTGATATTGCGAAACGAATACTTTCTCGCTAGTTGTTCGTGGTTGGGGTTATTGGACAACTGGAAGTCATACAAAATTATAATAGGCTCCATTAGATTCGTTAACACGTATGTTTATAAGACGTTTTTCTTTTTAAAGTTTGTTTTTCTATTTGATAATCAGTTTTAATTCTGTTTAATAAAATAACAGAGTCTAGTCATCGCTTCGTCAAAATTAGATTTCATTTGTTTAGTAAAGAAATAAGTTCAGTTTATTGAAAAAAAAAATCTATAAAACTGAATTAACATGTTGTCATCTGTATTTTTATCTTGCCAATGTTTAGTATAATTAGTTTTATTCGTGTCCATACTATAGTGAATAATGTAACTATGAATTGTGATCCGTCTGTTATATGTTTTATTTTTGTTAAGAAATCATAAATTTTATATTAATTAAGACATTGCGAATAAACTAATTTAAGTACATGAAACCATTTTGTTATTTCTTATTATTTATTTTACTTGTTGAGGACATTATTTTGCAAAGTAATTGGTTTATTAGACATAAAACACATTTTATAAAGTCTAGTATTACAATATAACTAAACATGGTGTAACATTTCAGGGCAAATTGTGTGATATTTGCAAATATAAATTAAAAACTCAATTAAAGTTATTTATATATGATCACTGACGTTTTATGATATACAGCCTGGTGACAAAGAGACAGACGGACAGTGGAGTCTTAGTAATAGAATCTCGTTTTTAGGATTCCGTACCCAAAGGGTAAACATTGAACCCTTTTGCTGTCACTCGTTTCATTTTACTTGCCTTCAGGTTCTAAAGTATTTTGGATTTCTTAAATATTCCTCGTTTTAGAATACACGTTCTTGACTAGATTGCAAAGTTATTTGTTTAAAAGTCTCCGCTTAAAGTTATGAAAGATTGAGTTATTCAATTAATATGGCCCACTTGCTCGAAATTTCTTAAATAAAATTTATTACAAAATCATGTTTAAACATCAATTTATCTCTTACTAGTGGCCCGCCCTCGCTTTGCTTCGGTGTAGAGTTGTAGTGTAGACTATAGTTTTTGTTGAAATGCTTCTATTATACACAATGACTTTCTTCATAATAATTACATATAAACCTTCCATTCCAATTAAAAAAATCGTTGCGTGGTTTAGGACCCATTGTACCGAATGTAACATTGCTCTGCTTTTCCGATTTGAAAACTTCTTTTTGTATTGGACAGTGCATTTATCGAGGAAGGCTATATATAGGCTATATATTACCAGGCTACGACCAGTAGCAACGGAGCAAAAATATTGCAAAATACAAATACAAATTCTTTATTTGATACAATAATTTCCGATACAGTATTGCGATTGGGAATTTCTTTTAAGTAAATATATACTTGTATTAGAAATTCCCGCAAAAACGTGTAAAATATTCCATTTGTGAGATTCCGTTGCGTGCGCTGGGTAAACGGTTAAAGTTACACAAAAATCATGTATGACGGAATTCTTTCCTTTTAAAAGTTCTATAAAAAAGTCCACGACAGCCTATGTCCATATTTTAAGTTTGAAACCGCAGGGGACCTTTGCTTCCCTAGCATGAGCGATATGATATAAAATCCATTTTTATTGTCAAATTCCTATGGAGTTTGACAGTGAGACGCGATAAAAAACGTGATTTAATGTACATTGTGGTGCTCATGCTACGGGGGCTGGTTGAGACATAACTTTAATAGTTCGACATATGGTATTGCGGACTTTTTTGTAGATATTAGTATCCTCTATAAAACTTCAGTACATCACTTTGCTCTATTAATAAAATAATAATAAATAAATAAATATTTCCAACACACACCAATTAGCCTAGCCCCAAAGTAAGCATTATAAAGCTTGTGTTATGAGATACTAGGGTAACGGATAGAATACATATACTGTACATATTTAAGTATATTTATATAGGAATACATATTAAACATCCATGACTGGAGTACAAATGGTCATATTCATCACACAAACATCTGCCCCCACCGGGAGTTGAAACCGGGACCTCTCGAGTCGGCGACGCCATGAACCCGGTACTAACCACTCGGCCACGGAGGTCGTCATATTATTGTCAATAACTTCCGCAGCGTACGCGATATACGGATATTTTTTTGGTATTTTTTACACAAGTTAAGTTACATGTTATAGCCTATATTAATCAGTGATAATGTAGCATTCAAATGGTGAAATATTTTTTTAAATCGGTCCAGTACTTTTTGAGCCATTTCGTTACAAACATACTTACATACAAATCTTTCCTCTATAAAAAATATTTGTATAAATATACTTAAAGAGTTATGTATTAAATAGAATTAAGCTTATGTTTGATTTAGAAATGTTAAATTAAAGGGGCCTTTGGTGTTGTTAATAATAATGATTTACGACTTAGAAAATCTTACATTTGTAGATAAACCCAATATCATCATTGTTTGTACTATTGAAACTAAATATAAACGTATTTACTTCTATAATATTATACCTATGTCGTACGATGATTTGATAAATCTAATTTTCGCGAAATTCCTAGGGATTTTACGAAATCAGGGATAATTAGACAGCGACGATGACACTTCTCAATCTTACTGAAAAAAAACAAAGAAGTTTTCAAAAACGCGTGTCGACTTCCTAAGGCTGCATTATAGAAACATAGTTAAATTTGACTATTATTAAAGTCACGTCAAGTACATGGTAAATGTGTTAAATTTTGACGAATGTTTATTTATTTATAGTATTCTAACCAAAGTCATAATAAAAAATACAACATAATAATAATAACTTTAAGCGGAGATCTTTTTATCAAATTACATTGAATTGACAACAGATTAAGAGAACCAATTGAGTCAAAAACGTGTATTCTAAAACGAGGAATATTAAAGAATCCAAAATACTTTAGAACCTGAAAGCAAGTCAAATGAAACAAGTGACAGTAAAAGGGTTCAATGTTTACCCTTTGGGTACGGAACCCTAAAAACGAGATCCTATTACTAAAACTCCACTGTCCGTCTGTCTTTTTATCACCAGGATGTATATCATAAAACGTGAGTGATCCTATATGAATAATAACTTTAATTGAGTTTTTAATTTATATTTGCAAATATCACACAATTTGCCCTGAAATGTTACACCATGTTTAGTTATATTGTAATACTAGACTTTATAAAATGTGTTTTATGTTTAATAAACCAATTACTTTGCAAAATAGTGTCCTCAACAAGTAAAATAAATAATAAGAAGAAAAAAATTGTTTTATGTACTTAAAATAGTTTATTCGCAATGTCTTAATTAATATTAAATTTATGATTCCTTAACAAAAATAAAACATATAACAGACGGATCACAATTCATAGTTACATTATTCACTACAGTATGGACACGAATAAAACTAATTATAATAATTGTAAACATTGGGAAGATAAAAATACGGATGACAACAAGTTGATCAGTTTTATAGTTTTTTTTTTTCAATAAAGTAAAACTTATTTCATTTTTACTAAACGAATGAAATCTAATTTTGACAAAACGATGACTAGACTATGTTATTTTAGTTAACAGAATAAAAACTGATCATCATATATAAAAACAGACTTAAAAAAGAAAAACGTCTTATAGACATACCAGTTAACGAATCTAATAGAGCCTATGATAATTTTGTAAGTCTTCGAAGTCTAACAGCCGCACGCAAAAACATCATTTACTTAACTTTTAAGTATGATTTAAGCCCCAGTCCAGTTGTCCAATAACACCAAGCACGAACAACTAGCGAGAAAGTATTCGTATGACCATATCAAAGTTTCTAACAGAAAAGGTATTTTATTTTTAACGTCCGGTAGGGGCGCTGCGAAATACGATGCTTATGCCTAAAATTAGGTTTGGATAGTGCACAATACAATTAATCCGAACATCTTAATGAGCAGTGAGTAGGTAGCCTATTTACAATAACAATGAATACTGCAGTGGTTTATCCCCAGAATTTAGTGAAGGTCAATCCTCCTGCTGGTTGCCAGTTGGTATTGAAGGAAGGTGAGGAAACTTTGGAGAACCCAGCGTTGAGGTCCACACGGGAGGCGGGGGACTGGAACAGGTTCAGCTTGCCCATCGCCGAGTAGTCGGTGCGGTCCAGGAATGGAGTCCTGGCAGCGCCCAAGGTAGCGCCAACACGGTCTCTGTAAAGAGGAAATAATAAAATAGATTCATATTACTTAATCAAAGCTATTAAAATATGAATTAATTAGACTGAAAATTACAAGGCTATTGTTGTTTGTGTAACATTGATTTAAATGTTCAATATAATTTAAATCTGACTATTGTGAGTTCCAAGTAAAGCAAGTATTGTAAGAAAAAGTGGTTTTAACGACTCACTTGAACATGTAGTCCAGGTTGCCTCCAACTGTATTAAAGTTGGGCACTTGTGGGATGTTGGGCATGTTCTTGGTGATAAAGGCGTTGGCATCGAGTTTGTGGTTCTGGTTGTGGAGCAGGTTTAGCTTACCCGCGCCGGTCAGCTGGCTGCCGAAGCCGGGAATGTTCGTCTGGGACACTGACAGCCCGTGGCCGTTCCTGAAACGAGAAAGCTATTAATACAGAAACTTTATCAATACACACGAAATAGTAAGGTTATATAATAAACAGAGAACTTACACATTATCTAAAGCGAGTCCTTTGCTGATGGCTCCCGTTGAGGACTTGGATAACAGGGCGCTAAGTGCGTTATTGTCGGTGTGGGCCAAGCCCAGTTTGGTGGCGTAGAGCGAGGAGCCATCGGAGTTGAGGGTTACAGAGGCGGCGTTCTGGCTGTACACCCCTGCGCAGAGTAGCGCCAGCGGCA